ATTTTGGTGTTGTGATAAGTGATGGGTATCTATGACACAAGCTTTGTGTTCGTTTCCAACAGGCTAAGGCAGCAAGTTTGTGGCTTATGAATAAAGTAGGTTAGTTTCTAAAGAAACTGTGGTGCTGTGTTGATGGGAGAGTATAACAAGGTAATTTGGTATTCATTTAACTGATTTGATAATGTAAATTGGCCACTGGTTAGAGTTTAAAAAGCTGACATCTCAAGTGTTAGCCCCTCATTAACCATTCATTCACTCTGATGAAGGGCTAACACTCATTTGATAATACCAAATTATCCTTTTAAGTTTGTGGCTTAGTTGGTCATAATATGCTCTGATATTTTGTCTGACTTCCCCTCCACTCCCTGTATGTGGACAGCCACATTGTTGGAAATTTCCAGCTAGCTACAGAAGCTGTAACTAGGATCAAGCAGCACTGCACAGAACAAAATAATTACCTCTATTTCAGGTCCTCCAACCCATCTGACAGCAGGCAGCTCATTTTGCAGTAAAAGATGGTTAGCTTCATCATCAAAACCCCACTGACATATGGCCAGGTTAGCACCTGTATCCTTTACTTGTTTAACCATTTCTTCAAATTTCTCCTTCTCATACTCTCGCAGTTTTTGATAATCTTCTACAGAAGTCACATCCAACTTATGCTTTGTTTTTGGCTTGGGCGGCTCAAACGGGCAGGTCAAAATAGCAAGTTTAGCATCTTTGATGACCTGTAAGACACAAGAGCAGTTCCAGAACTGCATACTTTCTTCTCCCAAGATCTAACTAGTAACTCTCCCCTCCAGCTGCTACATATTTGTAAATAAGTTAACCCTTTAACTCCCAAGATGTGATTGTTGATTCTCCCTTCGAGCTTTTATGCATTTCCTAGCAATTTGGTTAAGAAGAATTTGGTGTTACATCAAGAAAGCAACTTCTACCTGATCATTTTGAGTATTCTCATTACCTGTTTGCTGGATAATGGATATTATGGGGAGAAGTTGAATGTTAATCACTTATGAGAGTTGAAGGGTTCATTGCAACAAGTGACCAAGACAGAATTTCTCCTTACAACATGAATGCAATATTAAGCATAGAAGTGATGAGAGTAAAAAGAAATATCAATAAGGGGATTATAAGTTCATCCAATAAGAAATTCTCCAAACTAACAACAGTAAGGATAATTACTAATGAGATCTCAGAGATCTTACAGGATTACACCCCTTGGTGTTGGGAAGCGTTTTGATATTGTAAAGAGAGTTTAAATGTCACTTCAAGGAGTAAAAAAGCACAGGGTGAGGGTCATTGGGTTAAGTGTAAATTCCAGTTGTAGTGGAAGAAATATAGCAATTTATCTGGAGATAACAACTTGTGATTGGAGTTATTCACTTGTTGCAATCAGTTCAATCTTTTCACTCATTCTGGAAAGTTTTCAAGCTTCCCCTACCACAGTAAAGCAAGTTCAGCTACAAAATGTTTACACACACAGTTCAGATTGACACAAAGTACCCAAGTGTTCTATTACATAGATTATGTAACCGACTTTGATGAAGGAGATCATGTTTTTCTGGGTTTGTAGCAACACAATGTACCTTTGGCATTTGAGGATGGCTCATATCTTTGTCCACAACAACTCCTTTAACCAACATTGTGTCCTCCAGCTTTCCACCTTCCTTCCCTTCCATCTTAATTAATTCAAAGTCTACATCTTTTCTTTCCAAGTCTGCCACAGACAGAACAGCTTCCACTGCAATTTCTGCCATCTTCCTCTGACATCTGCTTACACTAAAAACAAACAAAGAAAAGAGCTATCATGATCAGACAGTCACGTAAACAGGCAGATCCTGAGCTCACCAAATTAATCACTTGGCCACCAAACAATTGCATCTCCCATACAGTTTATACAGACTACAGGGTGACCCTGCATGCATGTCACATATATCTAAAAATGTCTATAAACTACCGAGGGTTACATTTCTTACCCCTTGAAAATACTTACTAAATGCTAAGTCTGTTTATTATTATAGGAGAAAACAAATACTATTGTAGGCAGTTAAAAAATAAAATACATGTTCTGTGTCTACAATATTATTTTGCTTTGCTGCAAATGACCCTGACATATGCACTATCATGCTTACATTTTAGATCCCAATGTTGTCATGGCAGTCTGAATAAGAGATTCTGGATTGCTTTTGTCAATAGGAAAGCTGTCACAAATCTTGTCAAGATGTTCATTTGCTATTCTAGCAGCCAGCTCATAACCATCAGCAATCCTTATAGGGTGAATTCCCCAGTCCAACAGCTGTTCAGCTTGTTCAAGAAGAGCTCCAGCAAGAACTATCAAGACAGATGTAAAGCAAAATAACAAATCAACCACACTTTTCTGTGATTAAAACACTCTGACCATGGCACTGAGGTAAAGCTGCACTTGAAAGCTTCCAAGCAAATTTTTCAGCATTTTGGACTCCTAAGAGTGACTTACACCTTTTTTCTCCTTACAATATCAGCCCCAATTCACACATTAAGGTCATGAGAATAAAGGATATGTCAGCACCTTAGGAAATACATAGAGAACAGTACGGAGAATATGCATAATGATATTAGGGTGAGGGGGTTAATTTTAATGAATGAACCTTCAAGTCCTGCCATTTGTGACAGTCCTATTGTTGTATTTCAGGCTAGACAAGATTAACAACAAATGAAGCCTTCACTTTGAAATTCTGGTATTCTTACCTACAACTCCTGTTGTTCCATCACCAATTTCATCATCCTGTGATTTTGACAAGTCAACCATCAGTTTAGCTATTTGATGTTCCACCTGCATCATGTCCAAAATGGTGGCACCATCATTGGTTACTGTAACATCTCCATCTGGGCTCACCATCATTTTGTCCATGCCTATGAAATCACATAACTCATTGAGAGAAATTATACGAGAAAAGTTGATATCGGTCTAAAAGATGCACAGTGTTTTAGGGCTTGTTGCCTCTTCAGCAACCATGGCTATGATTCAAGAGCACTTCAGCAGTGAAATATGGAAAGGGGTCTGACAGTAGGGTGGGGGAAGATATCTAACACTTTGTGTGCCCCACTATATAAATTAGTGAGTCACCCTTCTGCCTGTGATACAATCCTTTGTAAATTTAAGTCAAGAAAAGTTGCTGTCATATAATCACAACACCCAGTTGCAAATAAGTTGTATACTGACTTGTTTACAGGGGTGTTGTTTTTGTGCTGCATTTTTACCAATATTTTGTAAAAATACCTTTAGAATCTAGCTGAGTGAGGAGGCCACCCAAAATATGCATTTCACAAGAATCAGCAGTGGGTAATTTAAAAAGCTAGGCTATCTTTTAAAAAAGTGTTCTTGTATTAAAGTAGTAGTAGTAAAGCTTAACTGATTGCAACTGCTTCATGCATCTGTGTGGTTTGATGCTCTCATAAAGCACAGGAGTGGTATTGCTGTGTTAAATCACTGTCTGGTGTTCGCGAGAAATGTAACAAGTTCGAAGATTGTCAAAGAAATGATTTTCAAAGCGCATACACCAGAACTACAAGGGTAAGTCAAGTACACATGTACTGTACACGAGTTTACTACTAGCGTGACTACCAGGCATTCATCGTAGAACACTGTTCAATTTACAGCTGAGTTAGGGGACTTCCCATTTCTCTAAAGAGACGATGGCGAAGAGGAGTTCGTCTGATTCTTTGACGGAGTTTGACAAAATGTAAAAATCAGCCCAGTCGAATCGAATGACAGCTGCAAGTGATGTTCGTGTAGCTTAAACGTTACATACCTTTCGGCCCCAGAGAAGTGCGTAGAATATTAGCTACAGCTTTTGCCGCCAAAATGTGAGACTAGAGATTTAAAAAAAGAAAAAAATCAATGGGATGAACGAGGTGGAAATCAAATCAATTTCACGCATGTGACTGTCATTATTCAAGAATCACCTTCTGTGCATCGAGCCCTGTCAACCTCGTTTGCCTATCTTGTTCTTTCAAAATTATAAATGGTCTGCCATATTCATCGAAGGTAATACCCTGTGGACGAGCTTGAAGAGGCATTGCAGCCATCTTTGTGAGTATAAAGAAGCAAGGATCCCTTACGGTTTTTACGATTAATTTGGATTTTCTTGGATAGTTCTCGCTCAAACACCAGAACACTTCGAGCACCGGTGTAAACCAAACCTCCTAAATGCCATATCGCTCACGGTCCATTACACACGTTCGTCACCAGGCTACGCTAAGTGGGACTGAGATAACGGAGTAGGAACGACTTTTTTTGAGATTGATTTAACACTTCTCTTCTAGTGTGACTTCAGATAATAATAAGAAAAAGGCCAGCAAAAAGCAACATAGTGGAGGGGTTTTCTGATAGCTCTAGTTCAAAAGGTCGCTTTGCATTTGTATCGAGAAGAATAGATCAGAAGCCTTCGTAAAAGAGCGACATTAGGTAAAACACCTAGGTCTAATGGAGAACGATTTTTGCCTCTGACAAAAAGCCATGATACGCTCCATTTCCATCATCTCTCTGGTCTCTTTAGTCCTTCCGAAGGGAAATACGGGCTCATTTCGCGAACAGCAACTACGAATCAAATGGTACAAAGCTTTTCAGGTGAAGAACGCTCCCTCTTGTCAAAAACTATCTATTTAAAAAAGTGTCTTCTTCTCTAAATTAATATCTCCTCAAAAATGATGGACTTTCCGCATGAATGGTCCTGAAGACTCAATGGCATGACGAAAGGTTGTTTCACTCCCCTCCCCCTACAGTAGACTACGTGGCGTCCCTCCTCTCGGCGAGGTCCGTAATGAGAGTCAATCAAAATCAGCGAAAAACAAAGTTCCGAGAGGTGCACTACATCAATTTCATTTCTCGCTAATTTTTTGACCCGCGCAACGGGCGGGCTGTGAAGGAGAGACTGCTTGAAGTCTCCTCTTAGAGAGTGAGGATTCATTCATTATTAGCTGTAGTGAAACTTATTACCATGCCATGTAGTCACCAAAGAAGTCCGCGTTTATTCAAATTAAACAAAATGTTACAAAATTGGCGGATGTTAGGGTTATAATTATTTTGCTATATACAAAAGATTTCCTATTTTCTTTGCCAGTCTTTATCTGGTGCAAAAATACGTACACAATATCTATAATGAAAACCAGCCTATCTCAGGTTTAAGGATTGGAAATTCAAACTGGATTTTTTTCATTCCCTTCATCAGTGTATATTGCTCTTCGGTATAATTTCTTTTTTCAATTTGACGGATATTCGTTTTTTTTGACAAAATGCTAGTTCAAAGACAATTGTAATTTAATGATAATATCTATTTTTTTTTTCACTGTGTTCTATTCCTGTTTCTTTCCATCTGTGAGGTATTTCTTCTCAGCTTCTTTAACCATCTCTTTCCCGGTATCTTTGGCAGTTCTCTTGGCAATAGCCCTGAAAAATAATTACAGAGGAAATAATTAGTCCTTTTTCATTTGTTTGTCGCTTGTTCCAGTTGATCTTCCTCATTCAACGACATTCGTTTTCTTCGGAGGATTCAAGAAACACCACCAGCGCTCTTAACTCCACCATGGGTTGGCATTTAAACAAAGAAGAGCAACAACTACGAAAGAGTCAAGTCACGGGTCAGCGCCTCTTGTTTGGGAAGCCGCGTTCAATCTCGGGTTGATAAGGATAAAACAGCTGAGAACAGCCATGTAAAAAATTCATTTTAATCACACAAATACTAGATTACGTGCAGCTTCTCCTTTTGGGTAAATTCTGTCGCGCGAGTAAAAACAAACGCATTCGTGAAAAAAACAAAATGATGTTCGCGCGCCGTGCGGAACTGTGAGCGTGAGACGCACGAAAAGTAGGCTTTCGTGCGCCTCTTTCCCGATTTCCGCACGGCGCTCCAAAATCAATTTGTTTTTCACTAATTTAATTGAACTAGCGCAGAGGATTAGCTGAAAAAGAAGGACTGCTCGTTGTCTAATAAATACTCACTTGATTCCCAAATTTTCCACATTCCAGCAAGTCTACGTGAGAAAACAGAAAAAAGCAAACAAGTGTAAGTAAATGAACGAAATACAAATATAAGGACATAATGATACAACGACTTCTCCTTCGTAGCTGATCTTTGGGATGTCATGCAAAGCTCCTACAAACAAAATAAGAGCGTTGCGTGACACACCAGAGAACCGCTGGGATGGGGACTGTGATACACTGAACTATCTCAACTAGACTCAGTTTGTCATTTTTACTTAAATGACAAATGAGAGATCCTATCAAGTGGGAGAGGTAAACAGTTATGAAAACACAACTTAACATGAGTGAAAATAACCATCTTATATAGTTTACTTGGTAAAATTGCTGTTTAGGACGTCGTCTAAGGTTACCTGTAAAGCAAACCCTGCAGCGCCCATAGCATTATTTGTAGCTTCACCAACTGCTCGACCATATCTGGGGATTTAATGGAAAAATATAAACGGGCGAAGAGACAAGTGAATACACGAACACACCTAACAATACACCAAGCAACAGACAAACAAATAAATAAAAAAAAACAAATAAACATAAAAAACAACATTAAGAAACTACGTGAATATTAAACTTTTTTCAGGCCTTATTTTCACTACTGCTCAAGTAGTGTTCATTACTGCGAAGATCACTTTCATATTCACGTCTTTATCGGCAGTTCAAATATATAACTTTCATATATTCACAGTCGTTTATTTAGAAACTAGAGGCAGAGAGGTAAAACGAGACAGCGAACCAACCATCCAACCATCCAACCAATAAAATAACCAACAAAAAGTAAGATCAAATTCACGAACAAACGACGACGAACGCGCATGGGAAAGAGGATAACTAGGAAAAAAATGAAAACAAGGAGAAGAAGAACCAAACAGGAATAACATTAGGTGTTCTCAAACTTGATAGCCATAACATGCACCAGCTCACTTGTAATCTACTGTCTTGACAGTAGCATGCTGCAGATTTGTGTACAAAATTTTCCATGAAGTCTCAAGACCTTGGTACACCGTTGCAGCACCTTTGAGAATAAGAATCAAAACAAAATTTCAAAAAACAACTGACTCTGTTGGAAATTTTAAGTTCTAAACATCAGATCGTTTACAGTCAACCTGGTGTATCAAGCTGGTTTCCTTCTTTCTTTCTATTTATTTGTTTTCATTATTACCATTATTATATCTAGAAACAGAAAAAGAGAGGAAAAACTCCATGAAGGAACTCTTCCTTAAGTTGGAAAAGAAATTATTCGCACAATTAAAATAAATCCCCGGCCTTTCGCACAAAAAGCTCAGTTAAAAATGAGACATTTTTGTTCAACCGAATTTAACATAAAATCATACGTGTAAATCAATTGAGGCCAGGTATGCTATAATTATTTAATTTTTCCGAGCTTTCGCCGATCTACAGCATCATCAGAGAATGATTCTCTAATGATGCCGAAGATGCCGTTGATCAGCGAAAGCTCGGAAAACTAAATTATCGTAGCATATCTGGCCTCACTTGATTTACACGTCTGACGTTATAACACTATGCTACTCAAGGAAAACATCCAACGCTTGATGAATTGAGCATTTATACCTCTAGCGCCGCTTACTGCAACTTTAACGATTTCGTCCATTGTCGATGCACCATCAACATTATCCTTCTTTTTCAAAGAGTCTGGTAAAGCCTAACACGAAAAATATCAGATGTTCAACCGTGGTCAATTATACATTAAACGCAGAATATTCCCCAATTACGTTCTCGCAAATGTTAGACGCTAAATTGCAAAGAGCCATTTGCAACACTCTCGAGACAAATTCAAATTCATTTGTTTCTCTTCGATTTCTTAGCCCTCTGACCCCAACGAGTGACTAGCATCCTTATTCTCCTTACAATATCAACCCTGAATCACTCATTAAGGTCAGGAGAAAAGAGAAAATGATCACCAATAAACGAAATTTAACAAACCTTTCCTCCTTTATCCACAATAACTGGCGCAAGTCGTCGTCCGAGCTCGAGCGTCATGGCTGACACTGCGGAGACCACTGCACCGCTCACCTGACAGGCCATGCCTGAACAACAAAAACACATACATCACTATCTTGCCTGATTTTTAATTCGTTTTGCTGTCATGTGTATGGCCAAACCAAACGCATTCTTTCATCATAACGGGAAAGTCCAACTGTAAGATGATTGAGCCGTTGCAGAGCGGGAAGCTTAAAAGCTTAAAATGATGTCTTACCTGCAACAGTCTTCACCTGACGAATGTTCTCCTGCACACTTTCATCAACTTCCACTGGCTTCTCGTTTGGTTTGAGATTTTCTCTGAGTTTGGCAGAACCCTGACGTAATTGAAGATATAACTCAGTAAATTTGGCTGATGATAACAGTTTTCATGAAATGTGATTCATGAATTTATAGTTGATATGATATTCAAAATCCGAGCTGGGCACCAGGAAAACAAAGGTAATGCTGAGCTACGACAATCTCCGGTGCAGCTGTTTTTTAATTAATAGTGCGTGACGTCTGACAACACCAAAGAACTTCTCCGAAGCAAAATGCAGCTGAGCCTGCTCTCTGGCCTTGTATACAGCGGCATGAGTAAAGAAATGTGATGAGACACACAGCACTACCTTGTGCATCAGATGACTTCCGACTTCAGCCCCTTTTGTCAATCCCCAAGCTACTAGCTCTGTGCCAATCTCGATTCCCTGAAATAACAAAAAAAAAACCATGACATCTGAAGGAAACATGACCGCATTGATAATGCTCTCGTCGTTTAAACCAGATGATGCTAAAAGTTGATCAGTAGTGGAATATGCCTTAACAGAATTTCGTCTTACCTTAGAAACCTTCCTTCCCCATGACTTGTCCTGAAAAAGCAAATAACACACACACACAAAAAAAGAAAATACGTTAAGCCTCAAGTGTACAGCATCACATAAGGGACCTTAAGCAAGCCACAACGACAATGGCGACGATGCCATAGCAAAATAGAAGATCTGATGGGTGGAATAACAGCTCAGTACATGCATGTTGAAACCTTGTACATTTCTAAGCCGTCCTCTGCAAAACAACAATGTGAAATCACCACAACTAGCGTGGTATGAGAACGGAAAATCCTACAGCAAATTACTTTGTGAACAGAGTTAGTAATGCATAGTAAACACCTGTGAATCAGCTGGTACAACCTCAGTGCTCGGTCTTACTGCCACAGCAACATCCTCATCCATAGCTTCTGCCTCGGCAGCCGGCACTGAAGAGGCACCTTCATCCGTTCTTTGTTGCTCGACCTGGCTTCCCTCTTCAGAATACTTTGGCGGAGTGTAGTGATGGAAATCTGCGTAACACTTCAAAATCCTCTCAAACCTCTTTAGTTCCATAGAGGAAATATTAGGGTTCAGAATCAAACCCACTGACGCAAATGCCCGCTGGGGACGAGGCTGCGAGGATTGGGGAGAAGAAGGGTCGATATTGATGTCGGGAAACATATACGTGTGAGGTTCCGTGTTCAGAACAGGAGATCTACCAGGAATCATGGGAAACATCCAGGCTCCGCAATGAAGGAATGCGGGAGCATCCTTTGATTCTGCAATACGATATAAACGAGAAAGAATAGTGCAAGTCATTATAAGCTATAAAATTTACCAGAAAAATTCAATGAAGGGGGTAAGTTTCTAAATAAATTGTGATGCTGCGTCGGTGGGAGAGAATAACAGGATAATTTGGTATTATCAACTTTAAGTTGATAACGTAAATTTGCCACCCAAAAAAGTTTAAAAGCTGACGTTTCGAGCGTTAGACCTTCGTCAGAGCAAATTGCGAAGGGCTAACGCTCGAAACGTCAGCTTACAAACTCTTAACGGTGGCCAATTTACATTATCAACTCAGTTGATAACACAAAATTACCAGGTAAATTTCTAGTATCTGATAACGGCAAAGAAGGTAATTATACATCACAAATGGTATCGACAGCGAGGCAGTGAAAGGATTTAAAGCATGCACCATAAACAAAAAAAACCTGAATTTAAGTCAACAAATGTCTTACGAGGTGAAATGAAACTTGGGCAAAGATAAAATTCAGGCAATGGAAGCCATTTGTATCTCCAGATTGTTGGGGAAGTGGGGGTGGAGAGGTTGGTTCTTGAGCCATGCTTCAAGACAGTTCTGTTTTCTTCATGAACTGTTTATTTACTGTAGAACCTCTGCTTGGTGGATATCATGGAGTTCACTTCTAGGTTAAATTAACTTGACCTGGCTACTATGATAAGGATGCCTCAGCCATTAAAATTTTAACAAAACCCTGGAGGACCACAGGATCACTCCTTGTGAGATTTCCACCCATTAACCTGTTCTGAAAAAGGACATGACTATGATAAGTGTGAAACTACATTGCTGAAGTATGTAGCGTTATATCTCTGCTCAGTGACACTGAAAGCATTTGTCATACTATGATGACATGTATTATGCATTACGTTTAAACTTAGATTTACCTGGTTTATGATTGACAAACTGAAAGGCACGTAGAGTTTGAGGTTGAGAGAGTGTTGTGACACCTCCTTGTTCACTGACGAAAAACATTTTAACACCTGTATTGAAAAGAAAAATTTTCAGTGGATGAGACACATCTGTTCACTTTTACACTAAACAATTGAATCTAGATTGAGATCAATTTCTGCCTTTTTCTCTCAAGTCTGCACAGTCATGACAGTTAAAAAATCATCTTGGAAAGCACTTTCAATTTACAGTGTCACATACTACTAACATGTACTTACTGTCTTCCAGAACCAATAATTCCTTGACATCTTCCCATGGATTTCCATCATCATGTGATAATATCTCAAGTTGGTCTTCAGTTGTAAGATGTCCATTTTGATTTACAGTATCCACCACATCTTCACTGGGGGCCGATGGTGCATTAATGCTGGCAGATAGTGCATCTATTCTCTCTTTTACTTGGTCTTTGGCCCTGAAAAAATATAAAATAAATGCTTTTGGTATAGGTAATGCAAAGATTTTCTGTGGAAATAATATAAGTAAGTAGGCACAAGTCAATTTTCAAGACTGATAGAAAAAACATGGCAGAAACTTTTCAAAACCAAGCATTTGCAATCATTTGCTAACTGGCACATTTTATTTTCAATTGTTCAACATTCTGCACTGTGTAGGATTAGTTGATGTGCTCCCAGCGAAAGAACATGTTGAAATGTTTGCGTGCTTACTGTGATAAAGGTCAGTCTCTCTTATATTGGCATTATTGACTAAACATGAGGTCAACATGGCTGAATATTTGCCAAGTTCTATCAAGGACAAAGTCAAGGTCCATAAAATTGCAAAAAAAGGAACAAGGCTAATTTCCAGCCATCTTGACTGGACAAGATTGGTCAATGAAGGATTTATTAATGACTGTGAATTTACGAAAATCATATATATGAACTGCAGACAAAGACATAAATATGAAAGCAATCTTCACAGTAATGAACACTACTTGAGCAGTAGTGAAAATAAGGCCTGAAAAAAAAAAAACAGCCCTGTATGGGATTTGAACCCATAAACCCATGACCAACTGAGCTATCAAGCCAATTGGGAGCTGGTCACTATGTTGGTCCCAAATAAACCTGTGAAGTGATGAATAAATGACAGTGAATATGTGAAAATCATATGCATGAACTGCCAATGAAAATTCATTATTTGGAACCAACATAGTGACCAACATATTCACTTCAAAAAGAATCAAGAATGACCTGTTTATTTCGAGAGCTGAAAAAGAAAGCCAATTGTGTTTGTAGCACAATAAAGCTAAAGGAGTCATTTAATATCATTATATGTTTTCTTTGTTTTTTACCATCTTCTACCCAATAAAGCTACGAGAGCTGTTAATTTTTTCTATGAATTTACTTTAATTAAAGAACTTACGACTTCATCTTCTTCTTTAGTTCTTTTGTCCTTTCTCTTCCTGGTTCTGAACTACTACAATGGACACTTAAACCCACAGTAAGACTCCGCAGTCCTGAAATAAAAGACATGCAAGTCATGTTTTCCATTTACTGGATAGATGAGCTCACAATTCTTTGTTGTTGTCATTCTTAGTGTGCATCAATGTTGAGTTGGTTCTACTGCAACACTTTGCGACACCCTAATTCCATGACCTCATTGACATGAAGGACAACACTGTGACATTTGATTGGTGCAAACATCCCCCAATGCTTTAATGTGATTGGTGTGAGATATATATCCTATTGCGGCCATCTGATTGGTGCGTGAAACATACCCTACTGCATATATCTGATTGGTGCAAGATACATAACCAAATGCAGTGATCTGATTGTAACATACCACTCTATACCTTAATATAGGGTTTTGTTTTTCAATAAAACAAAAACTCAATCTATCTATACTATCAGGCAAATACAGTACAGAACAAGAACAAACCACTATGGTTAGAGTGATAGGCAAGTTGCTTGGGTTTACAGGACAGCAAGGTTATAATCATCCCTCCTCCTACTCCTCTTCTCAGGTTCATTGTCTATAGAATCATTAAGTACATGTACTTCCCAAAAACAGCACCTTAAATAATGACACTGAAAACCTGAAATTGTGTCAAACATGTTTTGCCAAATGAAACATGCAGTGCTTACCTTTATGATAATACTGAAGAGCTTTCTGCTTGTTTCCTTGTTCATCAAATTTGAGCCCCTCGTTGATGTAACTATTTTCACAAAAGATTCATAAGTGATAAATATGTAAGTGTTGAATGATGATTTTAGATATATAAAAATTCATATATTTGCACTAAAATCATCATTCATCACTTGGATGTTTATTTGGACCCAATTCATTGACCAGCTCCCAGTTGGCTTGTTAGCTCAATTGGTAGAGCGCTGTACCGGTTCAGGTCCTATTTACAACTACTCGTTTCAGTAGTGTTCTTAGCTGCAAGGATCTCTTAATTTTATGTAAGTGTTGAGTTTTCCTTACTCTGAAGCTAAATCCCATAAGATACAAGAGATAAGCCTTTGCTATCGGAATGAACCCAACTTGCTCACTACCTAGATTTTATTTTTATATATATTTTCCATGTTTGCTTTGAAATGATTCTTTTCTAATGTATTTTGTGTAAACTGAGCTGAGTTAAAGGAGTCTGAAGTCTGAAGTCCGAAAAATGATGTGGGTAAATGAAACGCACTGGTGGATCTTAAAATCGATACATTCAGGAATAAAATTTGATATTAAGATATCTAAATATTGGACATTTTTTTCGTAAATGATAAAAAAAAAACTTGTCACTTGTTTGTAGGTTAGATGAACATATATCTGTCGCGGAATATTAATACATGCTCTGAGTAATTATACCAGCGTTCATAAATATTTGCTTAACTTGATGTGTCCATTCATATCTTCGACCTGCAGTGGTTGAAGAAAGCTTCATGACAACACTTGACACAAATTTTTTCAACCTAATCAACTAAACGTCGCCGATAAATCAGTTTCCTTGTTTCGACAACGGTGATTCAAGCTATGTAATTTTGGAGTATGTCAAAATACGTCTGAAGCATTTACAGCCTCAAGGATCTTACCGAAAAGCCTCATCGTGATAGGATTTCACTTTAGCAGCTCCCTCTACCTCCATTTTCTCTCCGTCTCTTATAAAAGCACCACTGATCTTTGTTGCAGAAGTCAGCGACACTGTATTCCCAAGATTACGAACACTGCTATAATTAGAATCTGAATTCACCTGACCGCCATGTTGATATAAATGTTTTAGTTACATGTTACATGAGGTACTACCCCAACTTAGAGTAATCCGCTTATCCGTTTCTACGGAACTACGCATTCTTAAAACGACCCAACAAAGTTTTATGATGAGCAGTTGACATCCTTTACGTACATGCAGAGAAGCGAAAAATATTATCAAAGCTGCAAGTTCCTGCATATCCATATCCCTCTGGTCCGCGCAAGATGACTGTCATCCGACCTGTAAGTGTTCTAATTCCAGAGACCTAAATCCTATTTTCCCAGAGCAAAAACATGGCCAATCCTAATTTCCGTTTTTACCCTTGAAGATCCCTCCTTAAACGTCAATATATTGCAGTAACATCTTGCCTCCTTGTGGCTATGCTCGCCTTTGGGAAAATGACAGAGAATATTTTGCAAAAAAACAGCTAGGCGATCAAATATGAAATAACCATATTTGTCAGAGTCTCACAGATCAAAGATTTGCCTCAGCCTTCACCTTGCACCAATAATTTGTCTGCTATTCCCACACATAATTCATGCAAATAGCATCCAATAATTATTATACGTTGTTGGATGACTATATATTTGTTGGAAGGTAATTATTCACGATTTTTATGTATTGTGCGAAGTCAACAGCCCAAATATTAACCATTCAACTGCTAAGATCTTAATGGTAATTCTCCCCTCTGTCTGCCGTGTATTTCTCGTCAGTCTAGATTTGAGGATTTGGTATTAGATCAACTTAATACCCAAATTGATGTTTCTCTTTATTCCCATTACTTGTCTGCTCGATATTGTATTGATATTGTAAGGAGAAATTCTGTCTTGGTCACAGATGGGAGTTAAAGGGTTAAAAAACACAACACCACAACAACAACACAGACTCTTTGATGGAATGTATCTACAGTTTAATGAATCTAACTCTATACATAATGCTACGAAAAAATATATCAATAGCCACACTCCTTGTACATACTCACTCATAGTTAGCTGTTCCTTTGTTTGTTTGTTGAACAAATAAATTACATAAAATTCATTCCTGGCTGCAATAAAACTAAAAAATTCCTTCATGAATGTCAACCATCTCAGATAAAAGTTATAGAGGTTGAAAATCAAAAGAAACCTGTCTACCAAGGTTGACAAAATAATACCATGTTTAAAGATTTCGTTATAGGAAAAAAACTTGTAAGATTCAAACATACATCCTTTTCAAACAACCTTGTCTCATAGTTTCAGATTTAACTTTAGACTGTAAACAAAATTTGAAGCTGTACATGAACTGTTAGAAGTATCCTATTTTTTTCATGTCTATCAGCATCAAAATTTCCTCATCATCTCTATATGATCACACATTTACATTTATCAATCATAAAATTACTTTGGAACCCCCTGGCACCTTTTTCATGATAATGCACATGCTTCATCCTGCAAACTATGGATTTCTTATGTGCCAATCAATTTGAAACTTTAACATCACATTTTGAGTTACAATGCCATAATGCCAGAGCGCTGCTGGAGAGAGGGGGGGGAGGGGTTTTTGAAGCTTTAAGTTGATTGACGCATCATGTTAACATATTGTAAAATGAACATGGTCATTTCTAAATTACATAATAGGAAGGTCGTAGGTTTAGCTCTTATAGGGAGCACTCAGATCTTTTTTTCCTGAGTACGCCTGTGTCATTCACTGAATTATATCATCTTTTACTTATGTTCACATAGATTATGGTGACTAATCCACAGCTTTATAGTGAACGGAGGAAATGCAAAACAATTCTTAAATTGCTCCAAGACAAGGGGCTTGATGAAATGTTGATGAGCTGTCGGTTAAGTCTCATAATTGTAGTCACCTATGCATGTACAAAAAAAGTTATGGTTGAAAAGACTTTAAGGCTTTGAAAGACTCAGTCTACAGGTTATTTAAGGTAATACCAAAATCATTGAACCTAAAACTAAAAATGCATGATCAGCAGAGAGACTTTCCAGATTCAGCACAGAGAACTCAATGGTCAACTTGGAGGACTGCAAATTTCTTGTCTTAGTTCAGCTGCACAAGTGAGTTTTTGGGAAGTTAAAATATTATACTTCAGTGGGACGTCTTTCATCTTCATCTTTTGTATAATAGGACTGCAACAAAAAAAGGAGAACAAATTTTATTGATGCATCTCATAGTAATGTTGAGAAAACTTCTGTTTGCTATAATTCAGTCATTTTTTATCCTTGGATCAATTAACATATTTTCCAACAAAAAAATTTGGGTTAAGTTGGTAAAATATTTGAAGTAAGGAAAGAACAAATTTATCTACAAAATTTACAGCTTGGATATAACACAATTGTATGAACATGTATGGTCAGCATCTCTCAAAAAAGGTAGAGAGCTTCTAAACCCACAATTTTTCTACAACCTAACAAGCTATGTGTTTCACAGTTGTCGAAGCTGTGCTCTTACAAGAATTAGTGGGTGCCTTAAGGCACTATCTTAAGTTCATATTTTCTTGTAAAAGACAGTGCACCTGTTGTATAATTCTTTAGTTAATTTCCTGCAGTAGTGGTCAAGCAGGAATTTTCAATCATTTTCAATCATTACAAAAGAAGTCAAAGCATTGTTTGTGTGGTTGTTATTTTCACACCCCCATCCAATTAGCTGTAAACCCCTCAATTTATTTTTGAATATTATTTTGTTGATTTCATGATAAATTCAACTATCAAATTGCGATTGTGAAAAAGCAAATTAAGACTGAAGATAGCAACATGAAAGCCCATGAGACACTACAAGGCTTTTACATAATAGGCTACCTCTAGAGAATATCAAAATTGCAGTTTGAAGATAGAATTGTGGTGAATCAACAGCAGAGTTGAAATTGAGTGGAGCTAAAACATTATTTTAACTGTCTGTTGTGATTACACATGTCTTAACCCTTTAACTCCCAAGATCTGATTGTTAATTCTCCCCTGTAGCTGCTACACATTTCCTTGTAAATTAGTTATGAGAAATTGGTGCTAGATCAAGATAGCAGCTTCTACCTGATAAGTTTGAATATTCTCATTACCTGTTTGCTGAAGAATGTATGGATATTGTAGGGAGAAGTTTTATGTTAATCACTTCTGGGAGTTAAAGGGTTAAGCAATGTTATAAGAATATCTAATGTATAACTGGTATTTCAAAGAGATAACTATTGTTCACTAACCTTAGCAACAACATCGCCATTCATGTTGAGGCTGCGGTATCTCTTCATGGCTTTATCTTCACCTTGGAGAGAGACAGAGTCTGATCCTACAAAATGAATAACAAAAACTTCTTATTAAAAAATCAAAAAATTTTGACAAAGATATTTCTATTGATACATTGAAAGGAAAAAGACATGTCAATTAGTTCAAGTCAACAGATCACAAGCTGATGAATAATGATAGTAGATATATGAAAATCATATATGTGCACTGTGGTGAAGAAACGAATATAAGAGATCCTCGCAGCTATGAACACTACTGAACTAGTAGTTGAAATAAGACCTGAAAAAAAATTCAGGCAAATATGGAATTTGAACCCATGACCTCTGTGATACCAGTGCAGTGCTCTACCAACTGAGCTTTTGAGCCAACTGGGAGCTGGTCATTATGTTAGATCCAAATAAACCATCCAAGTGATGAATAATGATTGTGGATATATGAAAATCATATATGTGCACTGCAGTGAAGAAACGAATATAAGAGATCCTCACAGCTATGAACACTACTGAACAAGTAGTTGAAATAAGACCTGAAAAAAATTCAGGCCCATACGGGATTTGAACCCATGACTTCTGCAATACCAGTGCAGCACTCTACCAACTGAGCTAACAAGCCAACTGGGAGCTGGCTATCACAAGCTATTATTGCCTAAGTGTAACCTCCCGTAAATCATGTGCTCAAGGTATTCCTGAACACATCTCTTGGCTCATTCTTGGTGTAGAAGACACAGCACATGTCACAATAAAACACCAGCTTGTAAAATTATTGTTCTCTCAATTGGTATTTTTGTCCTCTATTGTTTTACGTCAACTGTGTCTTCAACACTGACTAAGAGCCCAACTTTTGAGCCACTTTTGATTAATTTGCCTTCCAAATGCACGTGAATCAAAGGGGAAATTTGATATAAGATCACGGGTAACTGAGGGATTTTTGCTAAACAAATCCTTATTTGTTTCCATCAAAAAGTAATTTCTTGTAATGACTTTAAACTCACTTTTCTTGTGACTGAAACTTCTTCCTGTTTTACAGAACTGCACCACATTTCCAAGGATGAACATGACAGGCCATATTGCTAGGATGATCCATGTCACCCAACACTCCACCTGGACATCACCTGCCATGATGTGCTGTCGGGTGTAATTGAGAAGCACAAACTCTTCAGTGAAATAGTCCACACCACCTGTTATCAGTGCAGCACCAATGAGAGACGTTGCCACAATGAAGAATCCTTTCTGCCATCTTAATGTCAATAAACTGAAGATCAAACTTAAGCCAAGGAGAACCCCAAATGGTATCCACACAAGAGTCACATGGTAAAATGTTGAGATGACAAAAAATATGGCTACACCAATGAAAAATCCAAGACCTAATCCTGCCAGGAATAGACCACAGTATGAGCAGAACATTGTCAAAAGACCACAGAATACTCCAACAGCTGCACTGACGGCAACAATACCCCACATAGGCAGGTCAGCATGGTTTATAGAGATGACGTAAGTGACAAAGGTGGCATGTAGGAATCCCAAGAGGAAAAGGCTGCACTTGAAGAATCTGTAACCTGCCAATGAAGAAAATGCCAAATTACAAATAGTCCAAATGACCTTGAATAATATTTTATCATGTAAGTTCACTGTATTTTGTTTAACTGAAATGCTGGGTAGGGTAAACTCCCTCATTCTTACTCACCAATTTTCTTAGTGATTATATAAAATACTATTTATATTACATTCTTTAACCTTTAACTCCCAAATCTGATTGTTTATTCTCCTCTCTAGCTGCTACACACTTCCTTGTAAGTTGGTCATGACAATTTTATGTCAGATCAGAATTAAAACTTCTACCTGTTCAGTTTGAGTATTCTCATTACCTGTTTAGTGGATAATGTATGAATAACATAGGGAGAAGTTGCTAGTCAATCACTACAAAGAGTTAAAGGGTTAAGAGATCATGTTCTCAACACTAAGGCACACTGGCCTTTATGGAAATTTATTTGGGGGAGCAATCTTACCAAGTCACATTTTTGTTGATAGTTCCTCTGTATAGCTTAGATTTGCGTAGTAAAATTTCTTGCATCATTTTTCCTCTGCATATTCCTCATTAAGTGGAACATTGGAAATATGCGATTGTTATCATCTTTATCCATCTCAAAATTTTCTATCTCCAGACTTCCATGATGGTGAAAATCATTCCATTAAATGCAAAATTTTTGTACAATTATCTTTGTACTTAAAACCATTCATCAACTATAGATCATTATTCCTATCATTACAATACTAACACAATATAAGGTTTGAAGAATATCTCACCAAATAAAATCAGATAAAATCCACAGAGGACAGCAATACAGCATGTGACAGTGTAAGGTATGTTGAGTTGGTTATTCAGGACAAACACATCAAAGTCATAGCATTTTCCCTTCTTTATCCCTGGAGTAGTATCAGTAGCATTGACTGGCAGATCTGTAGAGACCTGTGTTATCGGCATCACCGTGGTGCTAAGGTTGGTTTGTAAGCTACTGTTTCCTACACCTTGGCTTACTGTGCTGTTTATTCCTCTTACACCAGACACTGCTGCCATAAGAAACAGCAGCACTGCATATGTTGCAGGACTCATCTGTAAAATTGAGAATATGATGTAAACTTTAAGCATCTTTCTTAGTATCTTCTTATGACCTTTGAGTTAAATGATTATGAAAATGATGATAATGATAATAATAATAATGTTTACTTTATAATTAAGGATTCCTACTACACTCCAAATGCAAATATTGATTTCATAGTCAATTTAAAAATATTTACACATTCTGGAATGACATCTATTTCCTTTCCAAACCAAATCTATGCATTACATACTGCAATTTAAATTTTCAGAGGATCTATCTGATGAAACACTTTCAAACAAAAGCTATCTTCGGAGTTGAATTGTAATATCTTTATTTGCAGAAATATCAAGCTATCATTGGCAAGTGGTGTTTGAAATTTCTCTTCTTCAATAACTGCAGCCCCTTGTCAAAAGGTTATAAAAGTTGCAAGCCACTGTACTGCTTAAGTGACAACAAAGTTTAGAAGCATGATGCCAGTTAAACACTTTAACAAACTCATATGAATTACAAACTGCACATTGAACAAGTATTCTATGATTCACTGCCTTTTCATTGTGTAAAAAATATATTAATTACGCATAAAAACACCTTCCATAAATACTGTGATGAAAAGAAAAAATTTTGAGGTTGCTAAAGATAAAAATGTAACTTACATTTACTGAGAAAATCTGTTATTATTCCATGGAGGATTTTTTGCCAAGAATACAAAATACAGCTTTTCTGATGCCAATAGGGACTCCGTAAAAACAAGACAACTCGAGAGATGGCAGGATTCATATTTAATTAACAACACTCTTCTTCTCAGACATGCCGTCTACTTCAAAACAGATTGCTATCTAAAAGGCTCTTTAATAATCATAAGTATAAGCTTGATAGGCCATGCATGTAAAAACATGGCCTCTCTATAATAAAGTACTACTCTTACTATCCTTTGCTTAATTAATTAAATTTTAGTTCTCCCAAAGCAATACATTTGTGTTCTTTATCATACCACTTGACTAGAAATGAATCTGACTGGCTCACTGGCCCACTAATTTTCACCTCAAAAATTAATTTAAAACTCAATAATGTTTAATGACACTGATATCCCCCTCATATCACTGAATCTGTTATTTCAGTCCTCGTCAAAACATTACAGAACAGAGAAAAAAATGTCTGAATATAGATAATTATCTGAAGACTTGTATTTAGTAATGTAAATTTATGTCTTAAAATAATAATCTTGTTCACCTTTTACCATCACCTTCGGAATGTGTGATATTTTTTAAAAAATATGGCTTTCCTGTTGTGTTCAAGAATAACTTCTATAGATCATTCAACAATCATATAGGCTACCAAACTTAAAATTCCATTTGAAGATAACTTTCTATAATTTAATGCAATGAAAACTTATGAAACCTTCAACTTTACTAACAGGTACTTATTTTTTATAAATGTCATTTAGTTTATTCAAAAAAAAATTTTAATATTCTTGCATATCAAGCATAATAAGTATGCATGTAATTATAAGCTTCTGTATCTGTTTGATCTTACATTTCAAATCATTTTCATTAAATCATCATGCCTAGGCGAGTCTCAACTACCTTACTCAATTTTCATCAGCATTCTCAGGTGTTTAAATATTGCCTGCATTACTAGGGACATGCTATGCTACAGTATGACAGGCACAAGGAAATAGAATCCAAAATAGCAAATTGTTCTCTACATCAGGATAGAAAGTTCAAATAACCTGTTTTTATCAGACAAGGAGTGGAATGGATATTTCTAGAACTTAAGTATGTGCTTCCAATTAATTTTAATCTTAGCAGACAAAATAAAGCTGCAAAATATAAGTAACAATTTATTTCGCGGGAACGTCATCTAGGGCCACTAAATAAAAGGTTTGCTGAATAATTGTATTTAACAAATAATTTTAGACAATGGTGAGAAAGCTTCTGACCAAAAAAAGTTGCTCATTTTTTAAAATTTTATCTCCACGTTATTCAAGAAAATTCTAGCATGGTAGATTTTAAGTACAAACATATGTATTATGAAATATAAAAACAAACAGTAACATCAGAAAATATGCCGCCCAAATATTGGAGATGAAAAAAAAATAACGAGTCACAATAATAAGGCGATTAATTCCGAACGCAAACGAAGAAAATTCTACGACTGAAGTATCAATCAGCGGAAATCGCAAGAAATAACTTTCCTCTGAACAAACAACTAAAATGGTTTTCCGCAAAAAAACAAGCTGGATTTTCTTGGCTTCTTGCCGAACGAGAAATGTTTCAGCGAGACCGCCATGGAAAATAAACCATCAAACTTCTAGGTGCAAACATTTGATCGATTCAATTAAAAGAAAGAAACTCAGCGTGGCGACAATAAACGGAGAAGCATGTTTCATGCCATTGCCAGCCAATATCACAACCACTAAAAGGGCAACAAATGCACTTTACAACATAAACAACCTCTCTGCGATTCAGCGATCGGTCTCACTTAGTATTAAACGCGACGGGTCGCCATGAATATCCCTCAGATTTGAGAAAAGTAATGTAATTACAACTCAGGCAACATTTCGGCTGTCCCTGAACAACGTGAGCGCGGAATATCTAATCATATTCAGAGTTTGAACGATTCAGTGTAAACTATCTCCACGCGCCGACAGGAAGCACGTAATATATTCATCGGTATGGGTTTCCACACATTAAGAGAAGTTTAAGTTCTTATCTTCGTTAATAGCATTTTCTCTATCATCAAAATGAACAGAATTGAAGAAAACCATTTCAATAATTATTCATATCACGTTGTCTACGAATCCGCACAAAGAAACCTCAAGCCGATGGAAGAAGGTTCGCACCACCCTGACGTTAGAACTGAACTTGGCGACATTAGCTTATAGACGAAACGCTATTAATCCACTCATTAGCACGAGCTTGCAACAAATTCTTCACACATTTCCAGCAGACAAGAGGACTGTCATTGCATTACTTGTACCATTGAAATTTGAACGCTAGCTTGCAAAATAACACGTCGCGGGCGCTTGGAGATGAAAGAAATTAAGCAATGCGAACGTTATCAGTCCACCACAAACGATCCTAGAATCGATATATACAACTTCTTACCTTCGAAGGGACATGAAACGTATAGCAGGAAACTCTTCGTGATTTACAAACAGCGCTGTACGAAATTTAACGAGTCGACGATGCCACGGATTTCACCCACACCGAACAACAACCGTTTACTCTTTTAAACTGAGAGCAATTTTTGTCAGTACTCAGATGATCTTTTGACTTGTCTGAAGGCAGGAGAAACTTTTGTTTGATCAGCACTTGTTGCACCAGCTCATTACGAAAGCAGAAATTACTGTTCATCAAAAGAAATACATGTATTCAAAATCTAGACTAAATGAAAATTTAAACTTAAAATCCGTATTGGTAGTTTCTAAAGTTTCAAAGGAATAATTTACACGATGTAACGGAATAATCTCGTATTGATCAAGCTTAAAAATTCTCCGCACCCTGGCAAGCTTTTCACACTCCCTCTGAAAAGAGGACAAATTTTAATTCTTCCGCAATCATGAACATCTCTAATCCGACCAACGGTCAAGTATAACAGCTAAATTTGGAGTTTTATCGATGAAATCGCCCTTTTTACACTAATATAGAATTTGAAATTAACCGTTGTGAAGCGATCTGCATCATAAGCAGTAACTTTTTAATTGTTCGACTTTCATTATTTGGCTTGCAGCCTTAAATTTCCATATCAAAGGCTTTAATGTATTATGCCATTAGCCGCACAATAAGGCAACGGGCGTTAAATAACGGATTGAAGTTCAAAGTCCCGAAGTGAGATCTCATTTGTCCGTCTTTTTTTTTTCTTTAACACAAAACAACCAAAACAAAACAATACAATTCAAAGAACAACTGCATATTTTTCATAAGCCGCTGGTCACTGTTGTCATTTTGTTCAAATATTTAATAGATGTTCATGTAAGAAAGATAACCCACTGCCAAATGAAAGACAAAATGTGAAGTATTTTTGGCATATGGAATGATCTCTGCTGTCAAAATCACAGCTGCACATTAATTGGTATTAGCATTATAAACTTATACTAGGAAGATGACAGTCTTACATCCTTCCAGAGTAAATACCAATCCTGCTAAAGCAAACCACCTAAGTGACAACTGACGAAATGTTATTATATTTATTACAGAGTGCGTGTTTTGCTAGCATAGAGACACACAATTTCCCTTCACAGGTATCCCAGGAGCTTTGCAAACATTCAAACAATACTGCTCTGTTTTCCCACAGTAGTAAAATCCGCTTCACTGTTTTCTTTCAAAGATTATCATTATTCAAGACACAACAGAACAAATGAACACTGATCTAATTAAAAACCACAGTTTAACACCACCCAATAGCATTTTCTTTCACTGATCCCGATAGACATGACAACAATGTCCTGATGTTTTGCCCCTAATTATTCAGCAATTTCCTTCTCAATTTCTTTACTTAAGGAAAGTTCTAGAAGAAAAAAATTTTGTTCTCCTGCAAATATTGGTTGTACTTAAAAGCCCTTTCAATGTCAATATGAATTTGGTCTCCCTTTTTCTCTCTAATTCTTGAATAACTAAAAATAGAATATTATTAAATAGATATACAAACTTCTCAGCAGGACCTCTCAGTACTTATAGGAGCAGGGAGATTAAGTCAGATTGCTTTTAAACAAAGTTGACATTAAGAAAAATTACCCTGAGGTTATCAACTGGATTTGGATTTAACCTTTAACTCATAATATCTCATTAGTAGTTCTCTTTATTGTTTGCCATACAATTTTCATGATGTAAGTTCTAAGAATTTGGTATAAATTTGAATCAACAGATGATCCCCAAATTTATATTTTTCTTTATTGTCATCCGTTGTCAGCTTGATTTCAGAGAGAAATTGTCTCAGTCACTTATGGTTAAGAAACAGATTAAAAAAATCAAATAATTACTGACTCAGTAATTATTTGATGTTTTTGGGAGACATCAGTGGTCGCTCAAAAAAGAAGATAAAGATAATTCTTCTTGTAGAATTGTTCCATAGTAACTGAATAAAAATTCACAATTTTCAGTGGTAATTAAAAATAGAACCCTTTAATTGTGAGGTTCAAGAAAATGGAATAATGTTAACTAATGTTAATGTTAAATCCCAAATAGCAGATCTCCATTTGGACACACAATAGCATGTCACATGATTAAAAATAAGAAATAAAATCAGATCCATCTTAATATAAATAATAATTAACTCAGAATTAATCCAGGGCAAATATTCATGAGGCCTAGGGTAGATGATGGGTAATTTGTGTTCAATTTTGTTTTTTTATGAATTAGATGTATATGTTGTGGTTCAATTTCATCCTTGTTCAAATTTTATTTTCCTTTGTTTCAAACTCATTATCATACATTACAATACCCAAAAACAAAAGAAAAGAAATTTTGAACCAAGGATAAAATTGAAGCAAAACATGTACAATAAGCTATATAGTGCCTTAAAATATTGAAATGAATATTTGATTAAACAAAGTTATATTGATCACATTGGTGCTTCCTTAGGTATTAGGAACACCTATAAATAAGTCAGAAGAGTTGTTTTTAGCTGGTAGCACAAAAGCTGACATTAAGATTCTCAAAGTTTTGAGCTCAATCAACTTTCCAAAAAGATAAGATTTACACATACATAATTTGAACACAATTAAATACAACTCAACTCGAGGTCCTTTTTGTAAACCACTTTTTAGTGAAAAAGTTTCCTCATTAAAGATTGTCATTATTATTATTATTATTATTAATTCCCTACCTTATCTATTATTCTATGAGACTTGCATATTAATTCATGAATGAAAAACATTTGGCCTATCAAAAGTGGAGAGGCTTATTATAAAAAGTACAAGGGTAGAAAATGGGACAAAGTGATTAAGTTTTAAAAAATTGAAATTGCAAAAATAACATTTAAGTTTCACATAATTTTTGAAACATTTTCAAAACATCAAAGCCATTTTCCCATGGAACAACTTCTGCTTTAGCTTCTGACTGGTTTTCACCTTGCAAACATTTTAAAAGTTTATATCCTTTTCTTGCTAGAATGTAATCTCCTTTCTTCAATGCCAGACAGGGACAGAGATCTCCGTGCCCATCTCCAATATAAACAATATGCTCATAACTTAGATTTTGCTCAGCCAGGTGCTTGTTAACAACCTTCCGTTTGCAGAGATTCTGTGGACATTGGTTACAGTCATGTTCATGATGATGCTTGACATTTAAACGTCCATTGCTGCACCACACTGCTGGATTTGTATAAGTGCCACAGAAAGCATTTTGCAGAGAGTCGCGCTCCAGTAAGTGATCAATAAAGTAACTGTTTGAGTCAGATATAATTATTGTTGGTATTTTTTGGCTCTGCAGAAAGTGACAAACATCCTTCATTCCTTCTGTGAATTGTAGAGATTCAAAACACCTCACATAGTCATCCTTGCTTATATTTCCTTCATGGAGAATTCCAAAGACCTTGTCCATGATATTAGTCCAACACCAACCATTCTGTTGATGTTCTCGGATAATCTGCATGGTTGAAGGAAGCATTTTTGTTATCCATGTGTCTGTGTTGCCATCCACAAGGGTATGATCAAAGTCAAAAATGGCCAAAAGTTTACACTGTTCACCAACCTACAAGAGGAGGAAGTTTTATTAAAAAAATCACAGACAAAAAAATAACACTTTGAGACAGTATCCGGTAACCTCATTCCAATAATAGTTCATTCTGAGTCAGCTTACTCCAGAAAAAGAAGTCAAAGCATCAAGTTCTTGCACAAGGTCAAATTGTTGGGTAAAATATAAGCAATATGAGAAGAATGCGAGATCCAGGTACAACAATATGCTAAACTCTCAAATGGTTTTTCTTTACATTTCCATGCACAGGGTTTTCACCATCAATTTCATAATTTAAAAGACATAAATCTTTTGCAAAATGAAGTGATATCAATAAGGGGTATATTGACTCAGAGGATGATTAAGGGTTTGTAACAGAAACATGATTAAGACCAAAAATAATATCTGATGCATGAGATGAGGTAAAGTGATGTGTGAAGTGACATGTGAAGTGATGTGTGAAGTGGAGTGTGAAGTGATGTTTGAAGTGACATGTGAGGTGATGTGTGAAATACTGTTTAAGGTAAACATTTCACATAACTTCCTCTTAAAAATTGTATAGGAAATGGATCATGATTCCTCTATGCTACCTCAGACAAATTTGTGGATTAAACTGACCATAGTGCACAAAAATTGACTTTTACTTAACAGGCTAGGGTATGTATTGGCAGTTAACCTTTGAGGCAAAACCATTTCAGAAAAAAAAAGGTTCATTCATGCAATTTTTGTTGCAGGTGCTAACAGATGAGGTTTCAGGCTAGACAACTCCACTATATATCAATATGTGATAGTGTAGTTTGATCGTCCGGGTGAGTGTAGTCCTGAGAAGGACTGTTGTTGGTAGTGGTGACTGATGTTTCGACAACCTGAGCAGAAGTCATCATCAGAGTCAAGTGAAAGGTTGTTGACAGTCAAATGTACTTAGTCCGGTTTGTGTACACTGATTGGTCAGTTTTGCCGTGATGTTATTGGCTGTAAGACTCAAGTGGTGAAGGTCAGTCGTGATTGGTCGGTTTGGATCCGTTAGTGAAGTTAGGTTGTTCTGTTCGGTTCGTTTGTAATGTTAATGTCATGGATGAGTCATTTGTACGGTGCCGGTAGTGGCTGACACCTGTTGAGGGGAGTCTGTTCCAAGTTAGTAAACCAGCTTTCCAGGGTCAGTCGTTGAAAGTAGTTGGTGCTGTAGGTTAGGCATTGCGCAGAGTCCCAGTCAATAGTGTGGTTCGTAAGTCAGTGATGTTCAGCAATGTGATTGTTGACATCCCCTTTCCTCGTTGCTCGTTTGTGTTCAGTCAGTCTAGTTGCGAGGTTTCTGCCAGTCTCACCGATGTAGGAGGCGTGGCAGTCGGAGCAACCGACAACAGTCCTTCTCAGGACTACACTCACCCGGACAATCAAACTACACTATCACTTTACCACCAGGTTCAAACCATTTACTGTATATCAATTTGTGTTTATTGGGAAAATCAGTTGAGTAATTACTAAGTTAGAAGCCATGACTGTTTCAATTTAAATTAATGACTGAGCCAATTTTACTTAAAACCCTTCCTCAGAACACTGAATTCAACTGTAAAACTTTATAATTTATGAATCATCTTGTTGTTCATTAATTTTGGTATTTTTCAGTCACTGATTAGATATGAGTCAGCAACTTCCAGTAATTATGGGTGTTTGGAATTGCTCTTTTATTTTTTTTTTGCTGCAATTTAAAGATGTACAGATGTATAGACAAAACCAGGGCACACCTCTTTCCTCCCCACCTACAGCAGACCCAAGGTTCAAAATTGTTATTTACTGCAATCAATTAGTAAATAGAGGATATAACATGGCTGCACAGAGCTACGAGATTTCTCTTCGAGTGTTGAAAAATATTTCACAAGTAAGCAAAGCGCATGAGTAAAGTTCTTCTCAACAGGAGAGGAGGAATTTCGCATCTCCCAGCGGCCATGTAATATACTATTTATTGTGTAACACCAATGAAATATAAAACAATTATATACATGATATACAATGATAAGCGCGATTTTTGAATGTAACCAAAGCAAAAGTGATCTTTTCACTTGTGAAGTTAACAAGCAGTTCACGTGTGAAGATATCATGCTTTTCGCACGAAAGTTCACTTGGTATTTCATTATTGTTTTTATTACTATATAATAAATATGTAACTCCTAGAGAGTGCTACATTTTCCCACGATGGAAAAGTTTTCATGGAGAGGAGTTTTTTTTATAACAGTTTCTATTCATGCTTGCTATTTATGATTACCCTAAAACTTCAATTATAAGAAACACCACTTACATAACATACTTTTGACTGATGAACACATTGCATTGCATTGTGCCAGCGCTGAAAACCTCTCGATCAAAAGTTATATTTCAAAATATTGCGGGACCTTCAACCCTTGTGAAAAGAGTAAAATTACTTGGGATAAATCAATGTGATATATAGTTTTATGAACAAACAAACCTTCTTAGACATCGAAGAAAGAGCTCTCCTCAACATAGATAAGTGCCCTCTCCAACAGTTTTGTGTCACTTTCATCCCCAGTGCCTTCTACAAGGCCCCAGAGCTTGAGGAGACTGGTGCGAGATTACTAAATAACAATCGATTGGTTATTTGTGATATATTTGCATAATTCGGGTCAGGTGTATGTATATAGAGAATGATAATGTATATAAGAGAATGATAATCCCTCGTTGGAATGTATCACGTACTAAAATAAAACAGTGAATGCTCGATGAAAATGCAAACGAGAGGCGTGAATCAGTTCCCACTCCAGAGATTTACGTCCAAAAAAGATCTAGAGTGATACGCCTACCTGCGTTTTCCGCGTCCAGCTCAACTTCAAAAGAACAGAGAGTTTATAACAAAATCATGTGCACAGGCATTTTATTATGATCGAGAATGTCAGATTTCCATCGTTTCATTTTCTTTCACAAGGTGCAAAAGGATCTGTCTGCCACCAAAAGAGAATCGATTTTCTTCTATTGGAGGGTGGGGGGCCGGACACAGGCCATTGATTGATTGATCGATCGACAGATGTCTACTATTTTTTATTCATTGAGTTAATGATCTGACTTCTTAATTTGTTTATTTCGTTCTCATAGCGGTTTCACCCTTTTTTATTATGCATCGATCAAATCTCATCCTCTTAGGTTTTTTGGCATTCTCCAAAGCTTTGTCCACTTTCCAATCCTTATCTATCACATTCTTTCCGGTTTGAATATTCAGACTAATCCCATGCAGTCCACATTTGACGACGTTGTCTGACAAGAGGGGACGTCAAAATGATTTCAAGTGGAAAACAACTGAAATGTGCTGTTTTTGTTGTTTTTGCTTCTTTTATTCTGCTTTTTTTTTATACTTCGCATATTTGTCTTTTCATCTTTCCATGTTTGTTTTCGTCACTTACTATTAGTTGATGATCTGACCCGCTTGAGTCCGATCCCCGTGACACAAGGTTTTGTATTTCATGGCCCCTAATCACAGTTGGTGAGTTTTCTGAATGGACTGATCTCACAAATTGTTTTTGGAATCAGTTCGTAAAAAAAAGTAGAAAACATGCATAAATTTTATAGTTACCTCCCACTGTGAAATAGCAGTTTTGATGTAGTAGTGGGCTTGGATTTTTCGATTCAGGTGAAGCTATTCTTTTCTGGATATGTATTTAATAGAGTGGGGGTGGCCGATCAAAACCAAGAGAAAAAATATATAATAACGCGGTCTCAGAAAAAGAGTTATCAAACAAAAATTAGCAAAAGTAACTAAGACTTTTGAGGAGTGATTTGAGTTACAGTTACGTAACAGTGTTTCTACTTCTTGAGAATATAATTTTATGTAAACAGTTCGAGAAAGACGGTAGAGTAAAAGCCCTGTATTACAATAGAGAAAGACGTACGTTTCTTTCATCTCCACTTGACATCCAATTTAGAGATCATTGTCATTATAAAAATGCCTCTAGCAGCGTAAAGGCAAACATAAAACGGCTAAACTTCAGAATACCCCGCAACTCATTTACATGTGTCGGGAGGCTTTGAAGATCGAGGCATAACACAATAGACGCTATTCTTATTCAATGACATGTAAATGAGTTGCGGGGTATTCTGAAGTTGCTCCCATAAAACAAACCTAGTGGCAAATTTCTGTATAAAGGCGTATTCTCCAATTAAGCGCCGCAACATTTCAGTAGGTGACTGATGAAAGGAGAACTTCTGCCATCTGAACTCGTTTGAGCAAGCTTAGCAAAACTCTGAAAGGTGCACGCCTTAATGGATTATTTCAGGCACCCTGTTACTGGGCAGTTCATCTTTGCACTGATCTTCGTTATTCATACCTCGAGCAGTCAGTGTACTAACGGAATATGTGAAAAGGTGTCTTTTTCCCTGGCCACCGACTTAAGATACAACTCGTCTCTTGATGGTTATGTCTTTGAAAGATTGAGCATCGCGAGCTGGCAGCAATGTTTACACATTTGCGCGGCGAATTGTCAGTGTCTCTCGTTTAACTTCAAGTGGGTGAACACAACACAAAATTGTGAGCTGAACGATGCTAACAGTAAACTGGCAGCAGAAGCACTTAATGAAAAGGAAGGGATCAATTATTACGAGCCAGTGAGAAATTATTACGACAAAAATGTGAGGAAATTTCTTTGTTCTAATAACATCAACATAACATCATGCTTTTTTACACTAAGTCATAAAAGGATTTACTAAAAAAAAGAAATAGCGTTACCACGTAGGAATGAGAATGTTTTTTTTTCTCATAATTGCCCTAGGCTAGTCTCATCTTTGAAGTATCGCCGACGGTTACGACTGTGTTTTTACTCAAGCACTTTTATATCAAATATCAGAAAAGAGGGAAAGCAATGTTATTTTAAAGAATGGCTTTTCTCGAAAACCGCGGCCGAACTTAGGTTATCTAAGTTAGCTGATTTGCTAATCAATTTTTGATGGTTATTTTAAAAGCCTCCCATGAGAGGAAAGTGAAAACATCATGAATTATTGAGTAACAGTAATACAAACTAGAGACCGAGAGAATGAGGCGTTGCTAGCAACGGACGAATATAATTAGGAAAATGTCACGAGCGTGCCTAATCCATGGAAAACGGGGTCTTAAAAGAAACAGCAATGGTGCTTTCAACATCGTAGAAGAATGTTGCAAGATTACAAATTTGCAATTCTCAAAGTAACTATTTGCCCTAATATCGCAACTTTACACTGGAGACGAACTAAGTGTTATGTGGAAATACCGAGTCTACTCCTTTTATCCTTACAGCGAGTTTTATGTCTTTAGCTATCTATAGGCAACTATATCGAATTTCAGCTACCTTTCTAGTTCGAGCCGGTAAAATGAAACACGTAATTCAACGTCAATTTATTTTGTAGGGAGTTCCCCAACAAGCTTGCTCTGATCCAACTTGCCAAAGTCATTGCTGTGACTCCGCCCCCTGCCAAAATGGAGGCACGTGTCGTAACATATGTCACGTGAACAAAAGAAGATTTGAGTGCGATTGTCCCCGAGTCTTCACAGGACACAGATGTCAATACCCTCTACCTCCGCGATCATGCCAAGAAATCATGATTCTTAACAAAACATCTTCAAATGGAATTTTCAACATCGTGGACCAATTCAACGACTCCCTCCCAGTTTATTGCGACTTTCATTCAGAGCCAGGTTTTGCATGGACTCTGATCCAGTCCCACTCTTTGCAAAACAAGAACCTCTTCAATGGAAAAGCATTCTATCTGCACAACGTTCCAACCAACGAAGACACGCCTGAATGGAACAGTTACCGCCTTTCAAAGTCCCGTATGCAGTCCATCCGGGATGTTTCCTCTCACTGGCGTGCCACATGTAATTTCTTGACCGATAAAATCAACTTTCGTGATTACATTCGCGCGTCATTCGCTGAAAACGACTTTTTCGCTGTGCCTGATATAAATGCTCGTTGTGCGTTGTACGAGTTTGTTAACATCCGTGGAAACATGTGCAGAAATTGTACGGCTTACTCTCCTTACGGTCCAAGTTTTGGTTACCATATCGACAGTTGGTGGCAGCCAGCAGAGTGTGATTTTGACGGGAGGCCAGGGGGAATAGTGGATGAAGACAACTTTGGTGAATATGGTCATGTTAACTCAGCTTTCCGTTGCTCGTCCTCGCTTACCTCTACAACGGAATTCTGGATCGGCGGCTCTAAATAATCGACACTGATCCGAACGAGTTTGATTTTTGCTCCCGAGAAGGAGGTCAACAGCAAATTCTGCACTAGAAATAGGATAACGCAAGGACTTGAGTGCCCCACCCACCCCTCTCCCATCACTTTTGCCAATACTGAAAATGGGAGATATTATAAAAACATCCAGAGCCATCAAGTAACCAAAGTAGAAGAAAACAGAAGAAACAGATTAGTTGTTCATTTTTATTTGATTTAAATGGGCGAAAATTGCAGCATGTTAGCAGTGACAATATTAGTATCATTTAGAACTCAAGGATCGACCAAAATAACCTAGTATAACGGTGGAAATTTGCACTGAATTTATGGCTACATAGTAAGTATGTAAAGTAGGTAATTAATTACAGGTTAACGCACTCAGCGAGTGAATTATGGGGATTTACCTGCACGAGTTCATTAACAATGAACGAGAAATTTCAATACAAGCTTTGCCGAGTGCTGTACTGAAAATTTCGAGTTCATTGTGTGTGAACGAGAACAGATAAATCCCCAAAATTCACAAGCAATGAGTGCGTTAACATTTTTATTACTTAAATTGTAACTGCACAAAGAAACACTGGATTGAAACCACAATACAACACGCAAAAACACCTTCAAAACAGATATTCCCTAAGCAGTTGCTTTCTTGGTATTTATAAATGGTGTAATGACAGTGGGGTGGTGAATTTACACCACGGCTATTTCATCACGATAACGACCTCAAGGAGGTTCTTTCGTCACAACCCAGTATCACGTGGTACAAAGCAACCAATCAGAAAATCGGAATTCTTTCAGTGTATGATAGTTGAATTATAGGTAACTTAATTTCAACTCGGGTTGATGAAGCTAATTAGTCCCCTAGCAGTAAATGCTGATATGCCAAGAAAAGTGAAAGAAGATAACAAAAAAAAAAAATTAGTTCACGATATCAAAAATGATTAGTAAATGACTAACTTTCAACTACTTTAATTAAGTAAACAATCCTAACTCTTAAAAATTATAACAATGGGAAAATCTTAGAAGACTGTGCATTACAAATGCATTACAGATTTTTTCAGCACTTTTAGGTGCGCAGCTTAACTTTTTGGTGTCGGAACTGAAGTACCATCAATTCTTTTAGGGCTGGTAGCATATATTTGCGTCGATAGAACTGTATTATTGATAGTGCAGAAAAAAAGTAAAGTCGAACATATATTAAGTGGTCACCTTTTATAGCGGTAGGTTTTCAAAGTCCCAAAATGTTGTTCCTTTGATTACTGTAACGGCCTGTTTGGATTGTTTTCACCTGTAAAGAACGATCACTAAAAGCGGAACCACTCAAATAAAGCTAAGAATTATCTTTCAAGTAAAATTTAATCCATGTTTATTTCCCGAAATTAATATTAGTAGTGGTCAATTATAGCATAAAATGGCGTTTACCTCTATTCAGCGAAGCCTGTGTGAAAAGGTCAACCTGTGTTAAGTAATCATCCGCTGCTCAATACAGGTGAGACTGTAGTACAGCTGTAGGTGCTTTTTGATGGCAACTTTTTTTTTGTTTTTGTTTTTGTTTTGTTTTTTTTGTTATTTTACTAGTTTCTTCGCTTTTAAAAAAAATTACGTTTCCGAGTGGAAAGAGTGAATGATTCATAATACCGTTAGTGAGGTTGTGTCAGTATTGTGAACTATAAATAAATTCTTAACTAAAATGAGCAGCGCGCGTAAATTTTTAATCTTGTAAATATATAATCGTTAGAATTGTAGTTGTGAAATAAATGTCAGTATCGCAAAAGTAATTTAACCAATGTAAAAGTTGTAAAATGCATGAGGAATTTAATAAAGAAGAAAAAAGTTAAGAGCTGCAGAGATGTTTCAACGCTTCCTAGCATAAACATTTGTTCCCACAGTGTTTGATACAGCACGATATTAGAAGATCTTGATTTTGTGTTAATTGGTGTGATGAACTGCTGCCATCTCATGATTATGTTATTACACCCCACTTGTAACAACATAACCTACTTTTTCAGAATATGCAAATAAATGTTTTGAGGGGGAGAATATATTTTTGTCCCAGGGGAGATCATAACAGGGGCAGATGAAGAAAACAGAGACAGTGGCAGTGACGAGAGATATTGAGGTATGTAATTTCATTTTAACCCAACAAGTTGGACCGTTTGCCACTTCTTAGTACAGAGGACAAGCCTAACTTACCAGCCTGTGTCAATACCATGCAATGGGATCACTCAACTTGGCTCTTGACAGTAGTGGGCAGCAAAGGCAAAAAAAAAAATCTGATTTCATCAAAAATGGCATTTCAGTGCATTTTCTATTCTAGCCCCATTATAATTCTTTTTAATTGCCTCAAATATTCAAGTTCCTGTCATGAAAGGAATTTTCTCTGGTCTGTTGCCAACAAGCCATGCCTTATCACTATTTCAACACATGAGATTTAATCACACACTCGTGCAACAATAAAATCAAAACCAAGTTGTAATTTTCAGCTAGTCTTTTAAGTATTGTATCCCTCTTTGCCCTTAGCTTTAGCTAATAGCACAGATTTAAAAGTGACCCACAATATGCTTTAAGACAAATTATATTTCTTCTTCAGACAATAATTCTCCATCAACCATTGTGTGTACCCACTCCTTCAAAATTGAACAATCAGAAAAGGATGCACTCAAGAAATAATTTATTCTTTCAATACTACAAATAACTTATACAACTCTTCTTACAATATGATCTACAGTTTAAATTAATTTAATTACCACAAGAAAATAGAAATTCTTCTCATTGTTATATTTCTCATCAGTGGCTTTGAGGGAATATTCCAAGTTTAGGAGAAGGTAACTCTAATATCCTTAACTTAAGAAAAAAAAGCTTTTACTGGGAGCTTAAAGACTTCATGGGTATTGGAAGTTTCTATGAGACCACAATGCCCACAAAATGTGGTATAAAAAACTAACATCAGCCACCATAGGAAAATCTTGCAAATAAATAGAATTTACAAAATAATTTGTTTAAAATGGCTATTTCATTTTTAAAAGTGGATTCAGTCTTAAATAACCACAATACTTCCTTAGATATTAAATAGTTAAATATAACGAACTCTGCTTTTTGATGACATATTCAAAGAAAAATACTGTCCCCTTGCTATGCAAAACAATGAAATATATAACTAAATGTAAGCCAAAAATAATATGCATGAATACCATGCTTGATTTCCTACCACTCTTAAACTTAGAATTCTAAGTCAAAATTATTCATAACCATGCCAATGATTTGGAAATTGGTGACAATCAGGATTAAATACTGTACAAATATGTACTCTGTGCAAACAGATAAAACTTTCAGTTACAGTAACCATGGTTACTTCTTCAAAACTTTTGTTTAGCTACTAATTGTTTTTTTTGAGAGGTATAGCTTGGATTACATAAATGGTTCCCAGTGACAAACCGTTCAAGACACTGAGGGGCAATAATTTTTTGAAACTGGTAGTTTTGCTAAATTCTACCTTGCTGCTCAAATAAGTTTAACCTCGTTGCAAATCTTTGATATCACTAACCATTTTTTGGCGGGAACTTCGCTTAACTAATGCATAAACTATGCGAATATGGTTTACTGAGTAGATATTATGTAATCACTCGTCGCGGTTTCTAACCAGATATTCGCTCTTGCGAATCAAAATATCCTTAAAATATTTAAGCGGAAGAACGAAAGCAACAAGACCCCAAATCAGGAATGTGCACATTTCTAATTTCCACCGTTTTTGCTTTCCAGCCGGACAAGGTTTTCTGGCTTAAGGCGCGTCCAGAGGTTAGTAGATCGACCACTTGACCACGGAGATGTTCCGGCACATGGTCAAGCGATGCAAATTTGAGAGAACATTTCATTTTCACCGAAATGAACATGTTAATCTCGCGTTTTCGAAGCGAAACTTCCTTGATTTCTTGTTTATCACCAACGGTGATCAACTGAGTTTCTGCCACTCTTCGGCGGTGGCAATCCAAAACGTCGAATTTATCACCTTCAAAAATTACCTGGATTGAGAAGGCAAAGCCTTCATCTGGGTTACTGTCCGACCAGAAGAAATTATCGTTTTCAACAGCATCACTGTGAAAGGTCAGTCTTTTACCATAACCTTTTCCGATGGTTCGTAACACTAGTGCCTCGCCGTCGAACAAGTAATCGCTTGTTCCGTTTCGGCGAACTCTATAAGCGAATCCAGGAATGATGTCCTTATGAACGTATGTTCCTACCACAGGAATTTCATGAGGTCTTAACGCTGAAATAGTATATTCAGTCGGAAAATCGCCAATATCTTTGCCTCGTATATCAATGATGTCCTCGCCCTTCGGGATTTCTTTCAAAATAGCGTGGAAGGGAGCACGAGTTTGACGCCACCAATCTCTCCATAAAGCATTCTGTATTCTTCTTTCATTGTGATATTCACTTGATAAATATCGACCGTTCCTGATGCCTTTATTAAATTCAGACAAACTTGGACTCAAGATAGTTTTACTTTCACGCACGCGACGCGCCTTAGGGTGGCTAAAGTATTCCTCGATAAGCGGTATGTTCGGTCGGTTTGTTAAATCCAAAAAATTGGAGAAATCGTTGTGGATCTTGTAGGTATCCTCCTGTACCACATCGTCCAACAGATTATCCATTACAAATTGATTTTCACTCCAAATAGCGCTCACGTACAAATTCTCAGCCCGCTCACTAAGATACCAAAGTCCGAACACGCGACTACTATGTATTTACTCCACGTTTGTTTTGATCCCTAGGGGTGACGTAGTTCAATGAAAAGCTATTTTCACGTTTCTGATTGGTCAATTTAATCTGTTCACGTGCGAAGAATGAATGAGGCATCGATTGACATGTGAGGCGATTATGTACGTTTGTTTTGATCCCTAGGGGTGACGTAGTTCAATGAAAAGCTATTTTCACGTTTCTGATTGGTCAATTTAATCTGTTCACGTGCGAAGAATGAATGAGGCATCGATTGACATGTGAGGCGATTATGTACTTTGGACTAAGGATGTACAAGAGGACGCTTGATGTTTCACGAGTTTGGACACCTGTGTTGGAGTAAGGGTATTACGTAACCTCGAGATTTATGGGATTTATTAGATATTTGAAGTTTCTGAGGAAATTTCTCAAATCAAGTGCTTTTACATTGGTTATGTATTCTCCTTTTCACTGTATGGGAAGATAAGTTTTTGGAACGATAGGATCACAAAAGTAACCCAAATTACCAGAAAACATAATCAGAGAAGTTAACTTCTCTCTTTAGTAAATCCAAGTCGTTATCATATGAATAAACTTTTAACATTTTTGAAATTCCGATTCAAAATCCATCAGTCGTTACGTTTTTATGTATATATACACATGCACAGGAGAATGGGCTCCTGACATACACTTGCATACTGTGAATTAATTTGGGTTACCTGTGATAGTCTAGCCTGCAGTGCAGGCATCTTGTTAGTGCGAGCTAACGCTAAAAGCTCGCGATCGTTTATTCAACCGGTCATTTCTGATTTGCAGTTAGAGTGAACGGTGGGGGTGGGGGGCGGGGGAGGGGAGAAAAGTAATCTACACTCCCCTACCCCCACCCTTCTCCTTATTTTTGACCGTCGACAGCCCTCTTGGTAGAGATTTTTTCTCTCCCCAGCCTTAAAGGCCTCACGGAACAGCGTATGCACGTGAGTTAAGGAAAATTTCAGACAGGCGCAGAATAGGCCCTCTCCTGTGTTTACTTCTCTCCTTAAATCTTTTGAAACTTTATCGTTGAATATCTTGTCAAAACACGAAGTCTCAGGTAGTTTAACACATAAACCGGGAAGACTGCGACGAAGTTGAAGATTCTACCGTTTTATTTTTTTCCTTTTCATCGACTAAGTGGTAGAAATTCTAATTTTTCGTACTGTTTTGTCGTTCATTGCGCGTGGTGTTTATTATTTGGAATTTCAAAACGGACAAGTTTTGGAGTGGGCATCGTGTTTTCAAGGCAAACTGAGTTTTGGAGTCCATCGTTGTTCGTTTGAAAGTTATTCACATTTTTTTGACGCGCGCTCAAGATACCATGGAGGAGTGAAATATATCGACTGATGAAATGTACTCAGAGCAGCTCGAAAGTACAGCAAGCGCACAATGAACGAGGTAAGAATATAAATTAAGTTATCTTGACCCCTATCTTGGGTGTGTTGGTGATAAAGGGTCAATTAGCCTACTTTCAATATCGCCCACTCGAGATCGAGAGTGAACTCCGGTTTAATCGTCAACAGGAACCAAGAAAAATTTATCAATCACTTCTCGGGTACTCGTTGGTACTTACTACGGATTACGGAGATGATGTTTGACTGGTGTCGATTGTCAAATTAATGCTCATTTCTTTTGGGCACTTTGAATGTAGAGGATTGACCGATACACTGATTCTTTTTCGACCACACTGCATATTCAATAATTAGTATAGGTCCAGGTAAAGTTTGGTTGTTGAACTGGTCATTACAAGTTGCCTGACAGGCAACTTGTAATGACCAGTTCAGGTATATGTAAGAAAAATTCCATTGATGTAGATATATTTAATAGTAGAAGAAAAACGTTTAAAGGGGAGAGAGGATTAATTACGGGTCAGAATGGTATTACTTATCTTTTACACAGAATAAGGAAAGACAGGATAATAAACTTGGCACATTTTTAACAGATCCAGTGTTCCACTCTAATTTATTACTGTTAATTATTGTACACTAACTATGTGCAACATAACATTGGCTGCATCACTTTGATTTGCCCTTCCTGTGCAAAACGTTATGCTTATTGTACAAGAACACTCATACATAAGTCATGTTCTTATCACATTCAAAGTTACATACTGCTAGTGTCATATGTTAAGTTATACATGTGCAACAGTATAGTGATATAATCTACATGTACTTAAATATTACAGTTATTATGTTCTTAAACTGCTGAAATTTAGTGACAGCAATTCAGTGTTTGTTCAATATTCTACAAAGCTTAGTAACAGTCATACATAACAATTTAAAATCAGATACATTACAGCTTCGTATACCTACTGTTCATTTTTAATGTAATATTTGATTCATTTAATTCAAGATCCAATACAACATGATTGTACATGCATGTCTCAACTTTGGCACCACGCACTTCACTTTTACCCTGTAAAACCAGTTGCAATATTGTAAACCAAAAAGCTAACATGCTACATGTACATATACTAAGATATTAAGCTATGTTCACTTTACTAACATGGCATATACAACGTGCTTTTACCAGGTTAATTCTAACATGTTGTGTTGAAACATTAATCAATTATTAGATGCGTCTCTGTGTGTAAAAATGCATACATGCTGAGATATATTTATTTCATGCAGTGTAGTCAGTGAAATCAATTCTTATATGTACAAATCTAAAACATTTAAAAATTACTGAGCCACCCCTCATGACTAATCTATTCTTCATGTGCAGGCAACGGCATAACATGTTCAGACATGTGGGATGTGGAAAGATGAGTAGTTGGAGGCTGGAAGACATTTGGAAGATTTTGTAGACACAACTGGCATTCTCTTGGTAGATCATAAATTGGTAGCTCCTCCCCATAGTTCCACACCTTTAGTGCCACTAGCTGCATGAGTCTTGGAACTTGTCCGTCAGGTGTACAGGTAACTCCCTCAATTACTGTTGGGTTGAATGACCTCTGTCCCTCCAGTGCAGATGTTCCCTTGGCAGAAGCCTTCCATTGAAGTTTAAGTTTGTGACCATCTGCTTTTAGTGACTGAATTGTTTCTGGTAAGTTATTGTTTACTTTCTTCTCTACCCAAGCTCTAGGGTAAACATCCTTTGCAGTAAGTGGCCCATGTGTGCAGTTTTCTCTAATCTTGTTTAAGTTCTTTCTTGCCTCTTGCAAAACGTCTGGTGAGCATTTGGGTATAATCTTTCATTCTTTCTTCGTGAACTTCACATGCTGCTTCTGTGGTCCTGGTGTTGGTTTTTCCACTATGCAGAATATTTTCAACAAGTGTGATTGAGGCCTGTTTTGACAACTCTGACATGTTATCATTAAGATACAGTTGAGAAAGATTGAACTGTCTTTCAGCAAGAACATTGTTAACTGGAAGACTGAAAATGTGCTTGGCATAGAACTCAAACAGGTTTGGAGTGGCTTCTTTACTTATGAGTGAGCTGTGTGGTGATGAAGCAATTTCTTTGATCTCACTGAGCAATTGTGGTTCCACCAATTTCCAAAGAGTGGCCCATTTAATCAATCCAACTCTATCCTTAGACAGCAATGTTAGAATGTTCTGTCCATGTACATGAAAGAGATTGTTCACTGACTTTTCTTGTTGATTCTCAGATCTGACTGGAATTTCAAGAAGCTTTAAAACTGAATACCAGAAAGGACTTTGGTATCTCTGATCAGCTCCCATTCCAAACAACTTGGGAAAAGTTAACCACTCTGCTCCATGATCTTTGATTACTTTGATTGCTTCTTGTAACATTGGCCTCTGCACTTGTTTGTGAAAGTGGTTGATAGCTGCTGGGTCCTTCAATGACATCTTCACCTGTTGTGATGTTAAAGGAAAATATTCTGCAGGAGACATCAACATTTTACTTAAAGTTTCATGGTGCTTCAGAACAGTTGCTGGCCATAACCTTGCTAGGTAACCACTGGAGAATCCAAGTTCTGCATCACTAGCTTGGGATGTATTCAGAGATGGGATGATAAACTTATCGAGGAATTCAAACAAAGACTTGATTTCAACTTGAATCATAAGACTGGAGCTCAGCTTAATGACATCTTGCCAAATAGTCTGGTGGCAATCTGATTTTGGCAATCTTTCAAGGAGACACTCAGCAAGCTGTAAACAAGCTTTTCCATACTTAAGATACCACTGGAGAGTTTCATGATAATATGTCCACCTTGTGTCTATGAATGTCTGGGGAAGGGGTGGCTCTTTACTTAGAATACCAAGAGAAACATACATAACTTTGTATTGGCTTGGACGCTCATGATGGAGCCAAGATATTTTATAGAGTAATTGTAAAACATGGGGGTTGCTCATGTCACCCTTGGCCCCAAACCCAGCCTGGCACATTCTTCTCAGCATAATGTTTAGTACATGTGGGTAGCATCCTACAAAAAACATCTCTTTTCCAAAAATTCTGGCATTGTTAGCTAAAAGACCATTTACTTTTCCCTTTTGGGTAGAGGCATCGTCCCCAACCAACCCTGAAACATTGGTAATATCATATTCATTTTTTACAACATGGTAATCTACATCAGACTGGTGTTTTCCAGACCCGCTTGCTGTTAGGCTGTTTGCAAGGACATAAGCTCGTGGCTTGCTCTCTAAGGGACACCAGGTGTGAACACCCACTACGTGCCTCTCCTCTCCTCCTTTGTGGGAGTCATCACTCCAGAGATGAAAATCATACTTGGAATTTGAAAAGCGCTTGCGTAAAATTAGTTTGTCAGCTTCACCCAAAAGAACATTCCAGTCAGAAAGTGTAGTTGGAGAGACAATGAAGTTTGTTGGGGGGCTACAATTGAACAAAATATTGAAAATCAGATGTAATGCTACAGGTGTCTTTTGATATGATAACAAAGATGCATGTTGCATGTATCTGACACAAGCCATAAACATCAAGGTCCTTTGGTTGTGTCCATTGTGACCATGAGCAAATGTTGCCCTGTAATTTCTGTTTTAGCTTTGAAGAAGCAGATCTTGTCCCCCTTAGCTTGTGTCTGACTTGTTTTTCCTTTTTTTCAGTAGACGTCAGATTTTTTTGACACTTTTTAAGTTGAGTTTGAAGCCTCAACACGTCCTCTTTCAATTGGATGTTCCTTCCTTTTACAAATACTGAAATTATGAAAAGGTGACACAATAAAAATTAGTTAAATGTAACTGATTTCACATGATAGAGTATTGAAACAGAATACAAAGTTAAAATGTCCTACCAGAAATCTTATCCACTTGATCAGACCAAAGGTATATTTAGTGAGTCACGATGTGAAATCTTATCGACCAGGCATATTTAGAATGTGTAGTTTAAATTTGGAAAAAACATTGTTATCACAATTGCAAGGTTGAATAATTGAAACTATTGTGTTTCCACGGTGATCCGTACGCAGATAATTTTGTTCACGTTGATAAAAACTTCTAACACAAGCCTCAAAACTTCACCCGTAAAACTCTCGATACTGTGTGACACTCGAAGATACGCGTTCTCATGATCTGCTGACCGAAAAAATTAACTTGCCTGTGCATTTATTTTCTTAGGTACGAACCTTTAGAGGGAATCTAGTCCGCAGTTTTATTTTTTCGCTTTTGAGTGCGCGTACTACCTCCCTTGCGTTAATCGCCGCTCCAAATAGTTAAGCAAGAAAAAGCTTGAAAATACTGACCATGCAGCCATATCGACTACTTTGTCTTTATTTTCGAGAAGTTTTTTTTTTTCGGCTTCTGTTCGGTGGGAGTATTGTCGGTTTATGATTAAAATCCTCTTAAAGTAGTGTTATTAGCGATCGCGTAAGTTGCAACCGCCGAAAATTCAGAATGGGAATGAAAATCATTCACCGTAGTTCGTGGCTCAGGCAATCTGCAGTATTATTCTTAGACATTTGCAAGTCCTTACATTTCCATTCCCTCCTGAAATAATATCACTTACCTATACTGCGTCGTAAGGTTTTGACTGTTCCTTTTAGACTGGCTTTTTCAGACCTCAAACTCTTGCACTCTCTCTTGAGTCGATCGAATTTTTCTTCACTTAAAAAGTTGCAAACTTGCACCGCAACGCTTTTTTTTTAAACTTTTTCAAAATAATCTTCTTGTTTTCTCTGCTTCTTTTTGGCTGGTGGCTGATTTTTACTAGAAAACTGGCTGCCGTGAGGTCTTTTACGAGCCATCAGGAGTTCTCGTCAGCGAGTCGGCCGGCAATTAATTAACACAAATCTGCAACTTTGATGTAAACAACCCTCGGCATGAGCCCGCGTTCCTTTTATCAGGCAGTGTTACAAAGTAATGTAATCTACGCATGTCTGAGATTTCAGGGGGTTACGGTTTCCATGGGTGGGGTATCTTTCCGGGCGGGCGGCGGCCGGGCGGGCGGGTGGCTGCCATTAAAATCAAAGATGGCGGCCATAATATTCGCTATGAAATTACTTAGCACTCGCTGGCCAAAATTACGCCTGCTCTGCTCTGCAGGCTAGTGATAATCTCGAAGTCATGACCGAAGGACCGCGAAAAGATAACAGAGCCGTGGGAGGGGTAGGACCGGACATGTTTCCTTACTTGGAACTGGTTAGATCAAATGACCACCACAAACCGTATAATATTAAGCCAAGCTTTAATAATTATTCGATCTAAAAGAAATACATTTATAATTCGCAATTAGAACAAACGCAAATCAAGTCTTTATCTTGTAACTAAATTAAAAAACTTCAATATAAACTTACTTCTGCGGCGGTTCGTTACAACAGTCTCACTTTACGGGTTAGCAGATTCTCCAGGTAAGCGGATTTAGAGACAGAAAAACGATAACAAAATAACTTCTTTCTCACTTCGATTATGCTGAAAAACTGACTTAAAACATAATAATCTCACGCTTTTTAATCAATCTATTGAATTAACGTCAATCACGATTCTTGTCATCGAATAAATCTGTCAACGAGAGGCAACGCCTATTTATTAAACAAAACAGACAGCTCCTTTTTTTTTCCACTGGGCCGGCTCCCGTCCACCCTTCCGGGCATAGTCGGTTATAATAACGCGGTGGGACCTGGGTACGAGACTAATCTGGTCCTTCACTGTCCTTCACTACACACGTCAGCTATATGGCGATGCTGACTTAACATTTCTAGGCGTTTCTGACTTTGCATAGCACATCACGATTACGGAACTCGTCGTGTCAGGGCAAAGTTTGGAGTAACTGCAGAGTACCTTGCCACTTTGGTCCAAAAAAAAAACTTCTCTCCTTGCGTAAGGTCCATTGTAATATCGTCATCGCGTAATGGTCTCGAAATATTACAAAATTAGCCAGGAACCACTGGAAATAACTCATTTCAGTCTTTTCAGTTGTATTTATACAAGTACTGCCTGTTTTCATGCTTGTTAACGTATTCAACAAACAAATTACGACGTTTGAAAATATACCTCCTTTAAGGAGAGAAGCCGTTGTCCACGGAGATGGAAATTATTTTTACCGAGCTGTTGCACTCTGAAAGGATTAAATATGCGGTAAAAACATGAGGAAATCCCTCGTTCAAGTGATAGTTTGTTTGAAAAAATTCAAAAGTCTTTGAGCTGCAACTTTTCTTCTCGAACTCCTGGAAGGATCTTGTCAGGAAAGGCAAGATCAAGCGAACTCCGGCAGAAACTGTGGACATATCATCGGTTGTGCGTCGCTCCTTAAGGGAACAATTTGTATCACTCAACGTCACAGAAGAAAGGGTTCAGTTTTGAGCCGATTATCAACGCTGATTCGTTCGCAATCATCACTTTAATGTACCGCAATAATATTTAATGCCCAAGCACGCCATTTCAATCTCCTGCTGCCTCAAGGTAGCTCTTCTAGCGTTCTTTTGTATTATCAAGCCACGAAAAACGCTAGAAGTAGACCTAACACACGTACAAAAAACTGGAATGGCTTAGTTGAGTTATTCCTTGGCGATTTATAGTTATTACAAAAACTTCCGTTTCCCTTGTATCAGCATTACCCAAATCCATTTCTGATTAAAGGGCTGCGAAAAAGCGAAAATCTCTTATTAAAATCGGATTTTTAGACGTCGGATTAACCGTTTACCATACATTTCCCTATGGGCGGCCGTCACCACCCATAGTCCATTTCACAATTTCATGTTCTAACTCGACATGGGCAACTAGACCGTTTATCATTTGGCTAAACTATCCATGTTTAGGGTGTTCTGTTTCACGAAGGAAAACTAAACCGTCTATAATTTGGCCATGCCATTCCTTTATTAGCTATTCTATCCTGCAGCTGATCCTTAAACCATCTTTGTATTTGCTGATCTATTTGACATCCTTGTATTTTTGGTGGTGACGGCCGCCAAGGCTATCTCGCCGAAACCACCAAAAATACAAACTGCAAATGGAACAGCGAACTGCTGGGGGTATGACGTCATCGAATGTGAAGACTGCCGCGAAGCCATCACATGGCGTAGTCGCTGTATTCTATGGTAATTTTCATTAAGCTTAGCGGAAGCGACAACCAGAGCCAAATGCAAAGACAATAATTCGGAACCGCCAATATCATGTCATTTACGTTTCCTATAAAGCACATCATTTCAATTTTTAATTACGCCTCTTATGTATACAACAGGTTAGTCTGAGGAATTATGTGTGCTAAATTGGATAAATTATTTAAGAAAGCGTGGGCATTTTCATCAGTCGAGAAATGTATTAATTTACACTGGAGTGCGTAAACTCAAAACGTTTTAGATTTGCGCTTATTTTTAAGAAATATCTGAAGTTTGCAACACAGGACTTTTTGCGAGTTTAATACATGGCCTCGTCTAAGCACTCTGGAAGTTGGGAAAATCTCAAAAGTTGTACAAACCATCAAATGCGACTTGAATTCAATAACCTGTGATGTATTCCCCAAAACCACTCGAAATTAAAAAAAGCTATGTAAACACGGAAAAACCCATTAAATAACCTTTCCCTTTTGAGAATCACCCCCGACTTTTAAAATTCGCATGAATAAAAAATGAGACGTCATAGCCGTCAGGGCATCTACGACAAGTTCTGGAAATTCGTCTGAAATTCGAAAGAGAAACAAGTGGATATTTTCTAATGGCTGTTTTGTCCCCAAAGAAGTTTCACGGCATCATTGTGATTCTCCAAAGTTTTCTGGTAAATGCATATTCGAAGGCAAACAAAGAATTTTGCGGAAGCATATTTGAAACTCAAGCTGGTAAGCATGATTTAAAACACATCATTTCCAATTTTGTTTCTCTTCTATTATTTTTCAATTATGACGGTTCTTTCTCGTTGCATTTTAGATCGTGTTTTAACTGGACATGTCTTGCGTACCATTGTTGTTTCTCACGACTTTGAATGCCACCTGCAATGCCTCGGAAGTGATAACAAGAACTGCAAGTCATTCAATATCCGACCTGGAAACAAAACGAAAAACCGCGTCTGTGAGATGAACTACAGTTCACGGCAGCTGAAACCAAATGATTTCAAACAGGAAAAAGGATCTATATACTATGGTTCCTTACAGGTTGGTTTGCCTGTTTACATTTCGGCCTCAAGTCAGTACAACAAAAGCTTGTTAGAGTCAGTAACTTAGATCTGGAGTGCCCATAGGAATTATGTTAGTCCAGTGCTGACCCCTTACTTCAACTAACGCCAAACGCAAAGTGCATGTGAACTTAAGAATTCCACGATATTAAGAAAACCGAATTCTTGAAGTTTTGAGGTGACTGAGAGATCAACAGAAACAAATAGAAAGTGATAAGAGCGCATCGCATCGAAAAGACTGCAAGGGGCCTGAGATTAATTTTCGGTAAAAGAAAAAATACGTGATAAAGCTTATCGAAACATCATTGCATAGTCTACCTATGAAACAGTTTTTTGACTCGTTCATTTATGACTCTAGATCTCGTGCATTGATGTCTCCCTCCGGCGCAGCGGAAAAACAAAGAGAGGTCAATGTCATTCAGGCTACAAGGGGAAACATTGTGAAAAATGTGAGTACAGTTATCAATTTATCCTAAGTTTGGTCTCTTTTCATTTCAATTATTTTATTTAAAAAGGGAGTTTTTTTATTTCCGTTTGAGGAACCTGCTAGCTGTGGGCGCAACTCAAAATGCTATTCAATCAAGAAAAAAAGGTTTTTGCTCAATGTTAGCGCGCGCGCCAGCGCGCGCATTTAAAGCCATAAAAAAGGCTGAGCCAGGTTCGCACCATCGTTTGTTTTAGGCGACGCTCATCAACGATACTGTTTGGCTTTGCCTTTGATTTTCTTCAATTTGCTACGGTGAAATCTCTCAAAATTTCCACAATTTGTGAAATTTGTCCTCCCGATCATTTAAAAGCCGAAAAAATAGGGGTTACAGAGGAAGTTTCCTCGCTATTTGTAATTTTTTGTTTACTTCCTCTATCTCAAATTTAGCCTTATGAATTTTTTTATCAACAGGCACTAGGAAGGGCACAAATTTGTTTAACGGTCCAGCAAATCTTAGGAAATTCCACTGAAGGAAACGCGATAAATCTTGCTCGAAAGATCCCTATTTTCAAGTTCGTCGCAAAACATTAAGTTATGGAATAGGATTTCACCAAGATCTATACCTGACTGCATGGGTAAACTATCGAGTCCATCGCCTTTTGGCAATCTTTCCCACGATGCTTTCCTTTTGGGCCTATGAATATTACAGGTGCAGTTGCTGGAAACCCTAGATTCCATCACATAAAAACTGCAATGAGTTAAACTGTTTTTAGCACACCCTTTCAGATAACAATCGTGCGTATCGTGCCACCATGTTTGTTTTGCATAGTGCCTTGTAAAGCTTATGCCATGTTTGCACCCAGATCTCGTGCCGTCAAAAAACCCTATGGAGCCTCCTGCCGGTCACGAATTGGTTCTTTGGCCTTCGGGGAGACAGGGAACTATTTATTTTTCATAAATGTTAAGACATTTACAGGTTTTCACGTATAAAAGACGTTCCCTACCAACTTGTTGATTTTTACTAAATGTTCAAATCGTTTTTAGTCTGTCCAACAGGATGGAATTTGTTCAAAAATAACTGTTACTTATTCAATGACTTTGCTATGACTTGGCTCCAAGCTCAAACGTTCTGCCGCGGCCTCAAAGGGGAACTGGTGAAGATTAACAGCGCCGAAGAGAACAAGTTCGTCTGGGACCTCGCAACAAGGCAAGCTCCGTCTGTGAACTATATTCGGATTGGGCTGAAGTGGAACTCAACAGCGAATGATTTCTACTGGTATGACCATTCAGTTCCAGTTTACAAGAATTGGGCTCCAGGTGAGCCGAATGGAAATGCTTCTGAGCCATGTGGTCACATGTACGGTCTTTCCTCGCCATCTAGCGAACAGCGTTGGAACGATATCTCTTGTAACCGAACCATGGGAACTGCTTGCCAAAGAGTTCTCTAGCCCAGTTAACCCAAAAGTGCTAGTTGTAAAGAATAGTTAACAAGTGAACGATTCCATTAAAGTAATATGATCATGTAGTTGGTGAAATTTGTAACCAAAATATGTGAAGAAAAAGATAACCGCTCCTTAAAATAAAACTTCTATAGAAATAATAAAGTATAAGCCATAAGCCATGAAGGACCGGAGAAATAGGATCAGTTTGTTAATATGCTAAGATTTTAAAACAGAATGTATATAAGTAAAGATGACCATGTCTGGGGAAGTCCTCTTTTGAAGGAGATAAACTCATGCATTTGATTAATACACGAAAGGCTGTAAAAACCCTGCATTAAAAAAAATGGACAGATCTTGGCACTCGTGCTTTTGTTCTTTATCACATTCTCGGTTTTACTTGACATTCTAAATACTTTGAAATGATGCCTTGAAGGTCAAACATGAATGGCGATGAATAATTAAATAAGTCATCAGTATGGAATATTGGATGAGGACCACTTTTCCGAACTACCTTCGAACCTGTCTTCAGCGGTCAAGAAAGAGAAACCGCTTAATACAGGTTGCAGCGAATGATTGGCGTGATGTTCGTGCGTATTTGTCCCAACAGTCCAAAGATAATCTGCAAAGTATTAAGGATATTAGAACTCAAAGTTCTGAAATTGATTTTCGGAGACAAACATGGGATCTTTTTTACTCGAAAGATTATTCTTAGTTTTATTTGTGTGGTTCCACTGTAAGTGACCGTTCAATACAGGTGAAAGACAATACAAACAAGCCGTTGGGGCTCGGTCAAACATGACCACAACCGCTTAACAGAAGTGAAAATTATTGAACTTAGAGGGTTAAAAATTTCGGGACTTTGAAAATCGATCGCTTAGTTAATATTCAGCAACCGCCCCTAGTCGCTTTAGGGGACTTCGTTGCTGCGTTGCGGCGATGCATAATTTTTGGTTTCTTTCAAACGAGTTTTAAACCGTACAAACAACCTTCGTTAGCGGGATTCGTGGTGGCTGTTGTCGAATTTCAACTGAAGAATAGAAAAGCAATTGATAATATATAGATTTAGCCAAGCCTAAAAGTGGAGCTCGCATTTTTTTTTCCCGCACGTCTCAAGGGCACAACGCCTTGCCCCGGCTAGGACTAGAACCCGGGTCGTCCGACTCGGAGCCCAGTGCAGAACAAAGCCGTGGCGTTAGCGAGCCCGCGGTACAGTTGACCACGCATGTTAAAAGTAGCACCCTGTACGGTCGTACGGTCGTACATCCAAATTTTTCCGGCTTGATGGGTTACTACTATTTTGTATAATTATGGGGCTACGCTCTGCGAGCTCCGCTATTAATGGTAATTTGTCGCAATGTTGAATGGACAGGTCTGTAAACTGCCTCAAATTGGAGTTGTTGAATGTACCCATGCTTAATACATGTTGGGCTCCACGTGAGTACTACGTAAATGCCTCAGAGCGTGGCGCGACCCCGCGCAAGAAAATCTTCAGTTGGACGCAACCGCGTTTACGAAAAACATGCTTTTAACGTCGGATGACAATGTTATCAGAATTTTCCCATATATCGTGTCAGAATAAAATGAAACATTTGCGTCTTGCGAAAAAGTAAACCTAATTATTACTTGTCTCAGTTATAATGACAATTCGAAATGGCACACAAATACAGATATGCTCAATGGACTCCAACCGTCATCAACTTGGATGATACAATATGCTAATCAGGCTCTTTTTAGCGCCATTCTTGCTGCACTTACGGCTAATAATTACCACTGAAATGAATAACAAGTATTGGAGGGATGTCGGGGTAAACTAGTTATTTTTTGAGAGGGATGCAGTGAGAGAGAGAGAGAGAGAGAGAGAGAGAGAGAGAGAGAGAGAGAGAGAGAGAGAGAGAGAGAGAGAGAAAAAAGAAACGCCTTAAAGACCGACCAGACATACCTATAAAATCCCCCCCCCCGAAAAAAGGGCGCGTTCCGATAAATCTTGTAGAGGACGTTCCAACTACACAAAATTCCTCTCGGAGCCGTTGAAACCTTCCACTTCCTCTATCATTTGAGCATTACTCCCCGCTAGTCGCGAATCATTTCATTTCAATTAGCTAAGAGAATTTGGTGTCATATCAAGTGCAGTTCCAGCCGATAAGTTTGTGCATTTTCGTCTCCTGTTGCTCAGCAATGAAACAATGTATTGATTCTATCGAAGAAAACTATGTGTTTAAAATTCCTAGAAGCAAAACGGTTACACTCAGAAAACCTTTACATTTCCCTTCATTAACAATTACTAATCACTAAGTAAACAACAATTTTTTTCCTGTAAAAATAATTTCCACTCCGTACTTTGGCTTGAATACCAGGTTTATTGACTACTGCGCATTGAAAGCGATCAAAATGCTGTTAAAGCCAGTTCAAAAGGCATTGTGTTCCTATTTAACTGAAAGGAAACTATTTGTGGAAAAATAGCTTCATATCTACTAATATGGTCTGCAAGTCATAAGTAAGTAAGCCACAAACGGCATTACGTTTTCCACACCATTCCCTCGAGTTATTAAACATTCCCTTACGAAAATGCGTCTATCTCACGTTGGAAAATATAAAATAACCTCGCGCATATAAAATTATCTTCTATGGTACTCTCAGGTGTCATTTTTCATCAATCACTGTCTCTGCTATTTTGTTAACCTTCTGAGGCACTTTGTTAACTATTTCCAGCCAATCAGACAAACTATAACAATGACAGTGACAGTTAATGACGGCAAAACTCATCGGGAAGTGATAACGACCGATGTTGTTTTATTGCACAAACAGGCCTGTTCGCCTCAGATCAAACTGGATATGTCGGTTCTGTTCATTGAATTCGACATACAAATGTTCCCTGAATTAGTAACAAAACTATATCTACATGCACTACGTGTCATCTTTTCTTTTGCTCTTTAGTTTATCGAATCTCTTCTGAAGGTGATCGTTAACGGTCTGTAATTCGCCTATTTCATCTTGAGCTTTACGAAGCTGCAATAAAAAGGGAGAGAAATAGAATAAGAGCAACGAAAACTTGCCACAACGCAAACAACAACAACAACATCAATAACAACAACAACAACAACAACAAAAAGGGCATTACGTGAAGTTTCTACGTCTCTGTAATTCCAAGAATATTTGTCAGGAGCTTGGGACACAAAACACTTTCGCGTCCCCCGTGAAGATTCGACCCCCAGAACTTCTGATTTCAAAGTGGTAATCTTTCAGAATTAGCACTATGGAGTCGGGGGAGGGGGAGGGGGAGGGGAAAGAGAGAGGGGGAGGGGAAGAGGGAAAGGGGGAGCGGAGGGTGAGTAACGAGCTAGAAAACAATCTAGAAACATGCATTAACACAAACCTCTCTTTGCAACTTTCTTTTTTCAGCTTTAAGAGAATCCTCCGTCGCTTCCTGTGAGAAAGAGAAGTTTTGACATTGTAAACTTGAGGAATCAGATAAAAAAAGAAAATAAGAAACTACAAGAACGGCACTATGGGTAAACTGACATCTTAGAACTTAAGATAGAGTTCTCACCGCGGCCTCCGCCTGAGTCTTGTAACGCTTCACTTGACTTTCCAGTCTCGCCACCTAGAGCAGATTTCACATTCGAGTCAATAATGGACGGTAAAGAAGAACACAGAAGAAACTCACGCAATGTCTGTCACGCAACACTTCTCTGCGACAGAAAGCGAAATGACCACTTATTGCCGTTTTGCCTTGGGCCTGCAGAAATCATTGTAAAATCACTGAGATAGTGAAAGAAATTACGTACCAAGGGAGAAGTGTTGTTTTGGACAATTGCATGAGTTAGATTTCTCGTAGTTTTAGTGACTTAAGTTCCGCTTTTGGCTGATTAACAATTTGTAACAGTTAGCACTAAACTCCTTCGGTCAGAAATCTTCAAGTTCTCTTGCAAAGAAGGAAGGTATTTGTTCCCCCTACGCATCCAGTAAGCAGGTATATTAGGGTACGTTCGGGGGTTTAACTTGATCACTTAACATGTACTAGGTACATTCTACAACTCCAATTTAAGGCAGTTTACAGACCTGTCCATTCAACATTACGACAAATTATCATTAATATCACTTGCTTTTCTATTCTTCAGTTGAAATTCGACAACAGCCTCCAAGAATCCCGCTAACGAGGGTTGTTTGCTCGGTTTAAAACTCATTTGAAAGAAACCAAAAATTATGCATCGCCGCAACGCTGCGACGAAGTCCCTAAAGCGGCTAGGGGCGGTTGCTGAATATCAACTTTATACGAACGTTTGAATGTAACCCCAGGGTTGTAGATAAGAGCCGGCAGCCGGCGAAGTACGCCGGCTTCTCTGCAAGGTTTCGCCGGCTACTTTCATTGCTTCGAGAGCCCGTACAGTGATGATGTTTATCAGGTCTAAACTTGGGCTCAATAAAAATATAAATTTGCACTGCCTATCTTTTCTGAAAACATAAAAAGACTTCTGACCCAAGGTTAGTTTAAAAACGTTCTGATGGGGACTGTCTTTTTGACAAATCTTGCTGCGGTGGCAGGAAAGTACGAACGATATGACGTTTTGTCCGCCATATTGGATTTCGAGATATGAATACATAATTATGCGAGCAGGAAACTGGGAAAGAGCAGTTTCGAGACCACTCCGGACCCACAGCCGGTTACCTTTAAAAAAGCTCCGGCTACTTAAAACCTTAAAGAAAACCCTGAACCCTCTCTTATATTTTCACAGGCACTACTTAAACTAGAAAGTTTATCCCTTAGAGAACTTCTTGCACTCGTCACACAACCTTCTTCTCTTCTTCTGGCGTATTCCTATGTAAGAGTTTGAAATAGGCTCAGTGTCACTTGTGAGGATAAGACAAGAATTTCGATAAATGAATTCGACTTAGTAAGCGTTTTGTCCAATACTCTCTTCTTTCAAATGACTGACTGATTGACAAGTGGCATGGAGATGAGTTTAAGCTATTTCAGCCATTCAGTTTTACTTACAAGTCCTTCAAGCCGCGCATTGTCCTGCTCTGCTTTTTGCAGCTTTATTTTGAAATCATTTATTTGCCTACTAAATTCTCCTGGAAGGAAAGGGAAAGATAGCATAATAATTTGTAAAATACTGACACTTTGTACCTAAATACAAGTTGGAATACGTTCAACGGCAATTTCACAAGGCATAGCGGGCCTTTCCGGTCAGCAGTCATTGTCACAGGTGCAAGCTTACGTGGAACGCTGCAAGTGTGTTACCGCTGACATCGTTGAGCCGTCGAGAAATTTGGCAAAGGCCGCTCTTCCAGCGATCCCGGGCACTTTCGTAACTTTTTTACAATCGCTACCCCACCCAACCCCCTTTACTTATTCCCTTCATTGATCTAAGCAGGGTTGACAGGCGTTGGGGAAGCTTACTCATAGCTGGGTTGCGGAGATTTGCCAACCATGAGGGTGATATTCAATCTGAGGGCTGGCTCGCTGCAGTGGAGCGCCCTGATACCACCGGGCAAGCACCTTCAACTTCAGCGAGACAGCGTCTGTTTTGAATGAATCTAATTTACCTTAAGTCATTTAACGCAACGCATGTTTTAATAACGTGTTAATTCAAGTGGTAAGTAAGACGAGGAATGAGATTAGTGATGAAACTGTTACAAATTTTACTCAGCAATTAGTAGACGTTACAATCACATGATTAGGACGCGACTAGGCCGTCACTTTTATCGTTCGTTAACTTACGTTAGTTTGCATCCATAAATGCATTCGTTATGTATTACTGCATTACGCGTTAATTCACCTGTGCATGTAAGTGAAATGAGTTTTAACTTAACCATGAAGCTATCATTTATGGCAACACAAGAACACAACAAGAAGAGGTAGGAGATTATTTCGGTGTCACTGTCACAGAATTTGTTCGACAAGACATAACATTGCAGTTTGGTTCATGCAGATGGGAAAAGCTAAGCCTTTCCCCAACACGAGAAAACCTTGCTTTTGCAACACGTACATAAGAAACTGACTATCTAGCCCTGAGGAAACGTATGAATTTTCTTTCCCTTTTAAGTGTACTGATACACAGGTGGAACCCACAATCCTAGAAAATCTTAATGAACAACAATATGAAAAAGAAAGGCGGGAGAGAGATGTCCTAAGAGAAGGACATGCCCTTCTTGTCCCCAGAACAGGATAATTTTTTTGGCAAGGATCAAATTTTCACAGATCTCCAGCAAAATTACTTTACAGGTGCCTATGCACTACCAATTTTTCAAGCTACAGCTGAAAGCTGCTATGAGAAGAGCTAAACCCTGCTGGCCTGGTTCAAATGTTATCAAAACAACAGAACAATGGAAACTGGAAAAATAACCCTGTCAAAAATGCAATGAAGACTACTTGCAGTCTAAAAAATTGTGTTTCCACAATTGCAATTAACTTGTTGATGGTAAATCTCAACAAAACAACACATACTTCTAAGTTCTTCTAAATCAGCCGTGATTGCTTTGGGTGTCTCAATATCTTCTCTCTTCAGAGATGCTACTTCTGTTTGAAGATTCTTTATCTGGTAATGAAGAGAAAAGAGTCAAATACAATGAATCATCAGTATCAGATACATGTGTCATAAATTCCTCTTGCTTGTCACAACTTGAAATCCCCTTTTCAACCTACTCACTCCCAAGATCTCATCAGTCATTTTTCTTACTGTCTGCCATACCATTCTTATATTAGTTTGGAGAATTTAGTATCGGATCAACTAATAATCCCAACTCCTTACTAATATTTTTCTTTATTCCCATCACTTGTCTGCTTGATATTGTTTAGATAACGTAAGGAGAAATTAAGTCTGGATCAGGTGGGGAGTTAAAGAGGTAAGTCTCCCTGATTTTTGTTGACTTTTAGAAGGCCACCCTGTATAATTGTGGACTAGTGACTAGTACCCAGCTCAACCTGTCGCATCCACATCTGGGAATGGAGTGATAGTGGAATCAAACCTCAGATGTACTCAAAGAAAAGAAACACACCAAGTGTAATTCACATAATGTTGCCATTTCTAAGTACAAAAGTTTGATTTTTTTCTATTGCATCCACAGCCAAAATCTCATTTTCTTTCAATATCAAACAAAGCAGGACAGAAAAACTTGAACCAGAGAAAAATTTCAACTAACTAACCTAGAGATAAAAACAAACTGAAAAAAAACCTTTCAGCACCTGTAAAACTAAAACATCCTTTTCATCTGACAAAGATGGCCGCCGACTGTTTGAACGACTCTTTAGTGGTTCAGATACACTGCTTCGATCTGAATAAATGATAGAAAAATAAAAACAATGACAGCAAGTGAATCCTTAGTTCTTATAAATGTTTGAATTACATATATATATTCAGAAACTCTGTTTAATGAGATTTCGTCATTGTATAACTCAGCAGCAATGATCTCACTGCATTCATACCATTTCGCATTAGTACCACCATGATATGAATGGAAAATTGGTCTTGTGTAGTACTGTCCAACATTTTTCAATTAACTTTCTAAACAGGGGAACACCTAATTTTTCTTTAAAAACAAGAAAAACTGAGAAGGATGGAGGCAAAAGTCTGTCTGGCAAAGTCATGCAGGAACCACTCAACACTATCTTAAGGTCTAGCACTAGTCTAACAATTCATACCTGAAGATGTTTCATCAGGCACAGCCAAACTGAGAGCATCCCTTAAACTAACTGTGCTAGTTTCATCATCCTCACCATCCTTCAGAACCTGATCTTCGTACAAGGAAAGACCTCGCTCCTGAAAGGACAACAACAAATCATTAGTTTACCCTACAAAGATTCAAGTATATGTGCCACAGCATTGTGACATAGGGTGCAAGAGAAGATAATTTGAAATTGGAATGCAAGTGTAATATAAATAATTTTTTTTTTAAAGGGTATCATTTGGCTAATTATTGGCTTTTAATGGATTAAGGTAACGCGTACTAAAAACAGAGAGAACAGCAAACTTAAGGCAACTAAATAACATCCAATTTAACATCTATCTGGGATATTTCTTAGTTCATGGAGAAGTTGACAATGCAACACAGTTCATATGTTTTTGCAGAAACCAAATTTGTTTCAAATCCTAGTTTTTTTCTGCTAAAGGCATGTTTTGTCATGAGAGAAAGCACACTGTCTTAAAATCTTATAAACAATCTTGTACATGTATTACAGACTTCTTACCGCCAAGAAATTATCTCTAAACTCAATGGCTTCCTTGAGTTGTTGAATTTCTTCTTCCTTGCTTTTTATGGTCTTTTCAAATCTACTGCATTCCTGAAAAGGAAACAGAGAATTCATAACCATCAGATAGCTTTACCTGAAAAAAGAATAATTTAAAAAGTTTGATAAGAAGAAATATAAAGCCTACACCAAACCAAAGAACAAAGTTAACTTTTTTTAGCAGGAGGCCAAAGGGCTATCAAAACATTTTGGTTCAGTCGACAGATGGAACAAATTTGATTGTGAAATCTTTTAGCTCACAGGGAAGTACAAAAACTTTAACTTTTAGATACATTTCTTTATGCAGAGCATTCTTGCTCTTCAACAAACACCAGCTGGGTGTATAAGCACCTGAAGAGTTTCCTTCTAAAGAGCTAATTTACATAGAGAACACTGAAAGACATTGAGTTGGTTGCCTGCTGACAACCAGAAATCAAATGCTGATTGCCAACATCAAATTCTAAGTTGCATTGATGAACAGCTGGTCACAATATTGAACCCTGCGTATGAGCCTTTTTTCCGCAAACTTTTACTGAATATATACTTGGTGAAAACGACCTCTAAAAGTCTAAATTGCCTTTTAATTTGTCTCTGCAATTACCTTTGCTTTTTCTTTGAATTCAGCTTTTACTTCACCTGAAATCTCTTCCTCTTCAACAAGTCTAAAATGTGATATCAAATAAAACCATTGTTAAGTAGATCAAAAAAGAACTTTTTTGATCCTGTTTACACAATCACTGACTTTATTCCTGGACATGCACAACAATCTCTACCATACATAAGTACCTGTCTTTCAGACAGTCCACTTGATACAGTAGTGCTTGCTTCTCATTGTCCAGCTGAGCATTGGAAACCATTGCCTTTCTGTACTTATCTTCAATTTCTTTCAGGTTTTCCTGAATATCAACACAACAAATGAAGTGATGAAATACATTCCCCTTGTTACAACTAATTGTGACTTTTGAGCCCTTAATTTCCAAAATCTGGTTATCTTGGGTTAAATAAAACAAGGTAATTCAGTATTATCAACTGGGTTGATAACCTAAATTGGCCACCATAAAGAGTTCCAAAGGGAAGATTTCAAGAGTTAGCCCTTTACCAAAGCAGAATCATTTAAATAAAAACATGTGTGTTTCAAAAAATACAAGGCTTGCTCTCATGTTCATTGTTGAGATGATTTACCAGAAGGTCAAATGTTTTCATGGTGTTTACCAGAAAGTTTTTAAGAGGTGATGAAAAGGGAAAGCTACATTGTAGTTACTGAAATTGGAAATTCTGATCTATAAAACATCAACTCGACATCATCAGCTCTGATGTCCACTCTTCTATTAAGAAAAAGAAAAAAAACTATGATCACAAACCTGAAGACTTTTTAAAACTTTCTCTGGCACCAATGGCCCATTCATGTCTATACTCTGGTCTCTTTGAATAGTGCTAAGGCTTGAAGATCCTGTAGAAATTGATCTTGCCACTGGATTCTTTTGCAAAGATGGAAACAATTGAGGAAATTAAAGCTAAAAACTATGACTAAGTAAAGCACAATAGTATAGTGACAACAAAAGGGTGAATTATGCTTTTTTCAACAATCCAGTTACATTGTATCACAGAGATCTAGCTTACAGCATGTTCAATTTGCTTCTTCATAAATCTTCCTCCTCCTGTGATTCATTAAAAAAATTTGATTTGGAAACCTTGTTGCCAATTTGCAATTACGTTTTAAGGACATTGTCAGACAAGGTAACTATGCTGCTTAGCTTATAAAATAAGAGGTATGTGTGGTCTTTCACCAACATCCACGTATGCATGAACATGTGGCAAAGCCAGTTTTAATTTATGAGAAAAGACTTGTCAAGAGTCAATCTGAAGTTATGTTGGCTGACAAACTGCCATTTGAAAATTTCATAGATAAGTTTAAAGTAAAGAATGGCTGTGAATTTGTATCAGCAACTCTTGGGAAGATTCACTTTTGTAAAAAGAAAAAAGAAAAATAACTTGGCTGCCCTTTGGAGCACTGATGTTGTTCTACTTGTTACTACGGCTGATAATCTTCACTTTCTCACAAATAGTGTATCTACAGTGTACCTTCTTTCTTGCAGGTGGAATGGGTGGCTCCTCATTTAAAGCCTGTTCATCATCATCAACCTGTAAATTTAGAAACAGAGGGAATCTTTTATCTAATTTCCTATCATTCCCATAGCTACATGTCTACAACTTCAAGTCAACTGAATGTGTTTTTGTTGGGTTTTCATCTACCTCCAGCAATCTTTATTCTAATTGAAATTTATCACCTTTGGTTAGAGTTTTATTATGTTTAGTTGCAAAGTACTTAAATAATACGTAAATTTCAATCAAGACTAACATTTCCTCCTTCTTCTTGTTGCCTTTCAAGCTCCTTCAGACGAATACTCCTTGCCTCTGCTCTGGCTGCTCTTTTTGCTGCAAGACGTGCCTCTGCCTGTAACACACACACACACACAACCAAATTCAATACTCAATATATGAGTCAAATTCAAAACATGAATAGTCTACAATCTATAAATAATGATGATTTCTACAAACATATACTCAGCAAAATAATTAAACCAAGAAAAAAAAAACATCCAAAAATGCAATCAGACAAACATGACCAGAGCTGTCATGAAGAGCTGTTAGACAGATAGGTCTGCCATCCTTAACCTATAATTCCTGAGAGTGATAAGCATCTTATTTCTCCTTACAATATCAGACCTAAATTAACCATTAAGGTCATGAAAATGAGGGAAATGATCATGAACTCAAGAAGTTATTGACTGTTAAACTCTCCTTGTGAGTGCCACAGGAAATGCATACAGAAAAATTTGGAAAACATGCATACTGATGTTAGGGTTTTTAAGGACTAACCTGCTACTTAAGCATCAATATCATAATAGAATGGCAATAATAATCATTTACATAGTGCTTTTTCCATAAATTTCCAAAAGTGCTTTACAGAGCGAGCATGGTAAACTAAAATTTAGGATGCTCCATAGGGATTTTGCTCAATGTTGGCACGTGCACCAGTGAAATGTTTTTCTAGATAATTTTTATTTTTTTGCTTCTCAAGATCACTAAAAGCCATCAAAAGGCAATGAGCAAGGTTCAGACTATTGTTTGCTGTAGTCAATATTATCAAAATGATTTTTGTTATTAAGCTAAGGCTACACAAAGGGAGGTGCTTGCCAGTGATAATTTAGTTCTGCCTTTGATTTTCTTCAATTTGCATTGGTGAAATCTCTCAAAATTTTCACAATTTGTGAAAATTGTTCAGCTGATCATTTAAAAGCCAAGAAAAATAAGATTTACCAAGCCATTTTCCTTGCCATTTGCTATTTCCTTCCTCTATGAATTGTATTTATCAACAGGCACTAGAAAGGGCACAAATATGTTTGATGGTTCAGCAAATCTTAGGAAATTTCATTGAAGGAAATCCTATAAATCTTTCTCAAAAGATCCCTATTTTCTTTGTTGCAAAACATTATGTAATGGAAAAGAACTTTGCCAAGATCGGTATCTGAGCATGCGTAGACTTTCAAATCTGCCACCTTTTGATAATCTTTTCCTATAAACCTATGATTTTTATAGGTGCAGTTGCTGGAAACCCTAGATTCCATCACAGAAAAACTGTATTGTGTTAAACTGTTTTTAACACACCTTTTCAGATAACAGTCATACAATCATATCAAGCCACCATGTTTGTTTTGCATGTTGACACTTTTAAAGCTCATGCTATGTTTGCAACCAGATCTCACACAGTCTGTAACCCTAAGGAGCTCCCTTAAAAGACCTAATACAGAATTTACAAGCTCAACACTAGCACAAAATATTGAAATACTATTAATCACTATAAAGAGAGTGGCATGCACCTGTTGAGAAACATACATCTTCAACTGTTTTTTTTAAAAAATCTTAAGTCTGGCATAATCGTATATACTTTGGTAAAGAATTCCAAAGAGATGAAACCAATACTTATAACCATAATAACCTAAATTATAATGTGACATTTCCAATTTCTCATGGGTTGACAATCTAATATTATGCTGAGGTATATAAATGTCTCAAAGGTCAATAATATATGGTGGCGTCAATTCATTCAGTGCTTTGTATGTTAACAACAGTATCACAAAAAAAATCAAATAACATCAAAGAAATTTGTGCACTGGCCAATAAACCAATTTTGAGTGGAATTGAATATATAGTTTACCAGCAAAAGGTTTTAGCATGTGCATCAATATTAGGTTCAAAATTTTCTCAAAGAGTTAAGGAAACTTTAAGGAACAAGTGACACATTTGTGACCGTGAAAAGTAAAATGGACACTAACAGTTATCCGTTTGAATGGGTAAACTGTTCTTTATCTATTCGTTTTCTGTTCGAATGCCTAAAAAAAATCTGTTCAAAGCGTTCGACAAACCATTCAAACAGTTTGCATATCCGTTTGAAATACATTAGCATCCATTCAAATAGTTTTTGCAACCGTTCACCACTTAGAGGTGTCCGTTCAGAGAACTGCAGCATCCGTTCAACAGTTTGATGTCCCTTCTGTTCATCTGCACAAAAGGAGAATATTGCATTCATTTCTCTACAGATACTCAGCATAGTGGTTGAAATTTCGCGATCCACATCTTTGTGACTAAATTGTGAGACAAACGATTAACTCAGCTATCATTTTAAACCATGACGACAAACAGTTTCAGACAATAACTAAAAATGTTAGGTACTAAATTATAAAATAGGCAAGCACTTGCAAAAGAGTCATTTCTAAGTCATGAAAATTTTCACTGAATAAGGAAATTGCTCTAATTGGCAGAGAAAAACGGTGAGAACTATTCACCAAGTAAAGTGAAGGAAGTAGAGCAATGTTGAAAGTGGAGGAACAAAGGCACCTTTGCATCCTCAAACTTCTGCAGTTCTTTTCCACAAAACAAGAGCTGGGTGCCAGTAACACAGATGGAACCCATGGAATACAGTGATTGGATAGGAACAAACTGAAACATTTAAAAGCATTAGTATTTGCAAAGTTTTCAGTGGAGTCGTCAGAAGAAAAGAGAAAATTTGGCGTGCTATTAAAGGCAAGATTAATATCTAACAGGTTAGCAAATTATTGACTGTCCAGGCAAATTAACTTCATTACTATTTTTTTTTTTATTGTGAGGTCAATATCATGCAACATCAAAAGCGGTTCTAGCCATGACTTATACCCTATTCACACCACCAAAACATGTTTTGTTAAATTTGTTTTTACTTGAATGAAAATCATAAATGGAGAACTGAAAAACTTAATTTTCCAAAGGATTCAAGTACTTGCTAACTTGCATTTCTGATTCCCTAAATATAAGTAAAAAATATAAGGTTAAGAAGTTTCTGCAAAGAAAAAAAATACACTTTGTTTAACAAAACAACTTTAAAACATGTTCAAGTTTTGGTTTTACTTTCCTCATTTGTATGGCATTCATATCTCAGTAATTTCAGTTAATGAAATCAAGTACAAAGTGGCCCACAGTTTATGGTCTATCAGCAGAGCATTGATTTTTTTTGATAACATGTTTTTGATAACATTTTTTTGATGAGAAATTGAAAATCTCCATTTCTGATTGTGAGAATAAAGGCCTTGAAATTGACAACAACGACAAATTAAATGAGAACAATATACAGCAACGTTGCCCAACGTTCCTGTAAGCAATTTATTCATCCATATGATTGGCAAACCAATTATACAACCAATCGTACAGATTAATAATATTTTCATCTGTTTGAATGGCTTGCCAGTCCATTCGACATTATAAGTTTTACTCATCCATTCAAATGGCAAAGCAAACCATTCGATGGCTAATCAAACTGTTCAAATAATTCATTCACCCATTCCAATGGTTTGTCTGTCTGTTCAAAACTTTTACTCATCAATTCAAATGGCTGACCAAACCATTCAAATCCTTTATTCAACCATTCAAATGGTTTGCCCGTCCGTTCGAAATTTTTACTCATCCATTTGAATGGCTGACCAAACTGTTCAAATAATTTATTCACCCATTTGAATGGTTAGGCAAACTGTTCAAACACTTCAAGGACTGTTAGTAAACCGTTTGTCATCTGATGGTTTTGCCTTTCATGGTCACATTAAAACTGACATTTCAACTTCTGCGTAATCTCACAAAACAGCCTAGTGTTCATGATAACCTGGCCACCAACTATTACTTATTTGCCTTCTACCCTTAAGAAAATCCTGCATGACAGTGGGTTATTGAACCAAACCTGGGCCAAACTGCTGGGAAGTGAACCCTCTCATCACTGCACTAATAATGTCAACTTTCAGGAGAACAACATCAGCTTAAACATTCAACCCCTAAGAGTGACAGGAATCTAATCTCTCTTTACAATATCAATGCTTAAGTCATCAGAATGTAGGAAATGATCAGAATAGAGAAGTTCTCAATTGCAAGGCAAATTCTCTGTCAGTACCAAAGGAAATGTTTCAAGAATGCTATTGAGAACAAGCAAAGTGACTAAACTAAGGGTTTAAAAGGACTTCTATCTCATTTTTTCTTTAATCACTGCCATTTATCTTTTGTCATGAAGAAAAATATATTTAAAAGCATTGTGTTTACATGAGATAAACATTCACACACATGTTATTCTGGTTTCAAAAGGATGCATTCGTCTACATGTCTATTAACAATTCTGTGTGCTGCAAATTGAAAGTGTAACTTGCTAAACCTACAAATTCATCACCAAATACAAGCAATTTGAAGAGTTAACTGCTCAATCGACAGAATGGTTTTAATTCCAATATCAGTGACTTTGATTGTCATTTCAAAACAGGAGTAAACTGAAGTGCGACGATTTTTATCACTTGTAGAACGGTTAAAATTCGAATGAAAGACTAACGGTAAATGAACACCTTTAGCGATTAAAAAGTTACTTGGTTCAAAAAGCTGCTGAACATAAACCATGAATAGTTGGAACGTACTGAATCTACACAGGAAATGGTTTAGGCGGCCGCCCACCGTAAAAAGTCAAAGTGGTAGCAATCGTAAATAATAAACAACACCAACACGCCCCGGCGCCACAGGCAAGAGATAAATGCTATGTTATCGAAAGCTATGAAACTCGGGAACTACCCGACGCTAGCGAAGACAAAGAAGCAAAACTGAAATGAAAGGAACAAACTTTCGACTCGAAACTATTTTTAGGATGTGTTCAACAGTGAGTGCCACAGCCACCGGAAAATCGTGACTTGCTCCACTAATGTAAAACTGTCACTAGAAATTTACATCATTCATGTACACGAATTGTACGTCGAGTGAACTGAAACGCCAAGAAATTCAGGAAAGACTGAATCTTGAAAACTTATCCGTAACGAACCAAAAAACCATAACAAAAGCGTTCAATTACTCGGCAGTATGCGAAAAATCATAAGTTCTTCGTCAGCATTAAAATTTCTGGTCCAGTAAGTGAATCTCCCGACACGAATCAAAATTCACGTTGAAAAGATTAAGAACAAATTATCCCTTACCTCACGAGCAATTTGATTTAAGGCCTGGTCTTCTGAAGAAGACGTTGTCCTAGTAAGCGGTCTCCTTCTGCCACCGTGTGCTGAGCTCATTTTGAACGATGAAGTCACACAAACACACACCTTCCTCGGCAACTTTTAAGCAATCAGCTAGTCTGGATTGAATACTAGAACTTACATCTGTTTCCACAAATTGTACACATTAAGTCCGCTCGTTTTGTAGTTTTTCTACGAAGGAGTCCGGCAGGGAAAGCCTAATTATCTGCTTTGCTTAGTTCAACACTCCTAAAATAAATTCACAAGGCAAGGCAAATATTATTCGCTTCGTAGCACCACTTTTCCGCCATAGTCGCCTGTTGGTGGAATCTCCCGGATCAAAAGTAACAGAATACATGCGCCGGCATTTTCAAATGGTGCTATCCGCTGACCGTACTCCTTGGCTACTTGGGGGCGAGGCAGGCTCTGTTGGCTGTTGCCTGTAAGCCCTATCATGTCACCAGCTATGCTTGATTTTTTTTCAAATCATGCTCAAAATTATGCTCGTTTTGGAAATAATACTATTTTTCTCCTATGGTTTGCTTTTCAAAAAAAAAAAAAAAATCAGTCTGAGTTAGATATTTACTGTTAATTAATAGAGTATGACACTCTTCTTCTTTATTTTGAGTGAGATACTTGTTATGATAAACATAACCAGCTACTGCCATTTTTTTTCTTGTGAAAGCGGGAACTGGAACCGGCGCATTCTGTACTTACAGTGTTTCCAGTCCTCTATACGACGAATGACACAACCTTCTTCTTTTCCCAAGACAATGCTGAATTGAAAATAGACTGAACTGATGACCGAACTTGAAAATTTTTTAACTTTGCTAAAGTTTCCAACAAAAACACTTGATATATGCTGATTATGCTAGTAGTGCAACTTTCATTAAAAAAGAGTGCAAAAATTGTAATGCTCGTTTTTTCCCAGTTATCAAAAAAGTATGCAGGCCTAGTGGAGAGAGCGTCGATAATCAGCTTTCTTTTGAATAGTTATTGAGTATGTAGAAGTACTAGAGACTGCATTGAAAAGACAACGAGTTTCAATGTGACGTCTGTAATTGAACGTACGTGCTGGTGTTCAGGCTGAAAGAGATACTGACCTAATAGCGTGCAATCGAACTGAAACCAATCAAGAAGTTGTAAAGTTCTCGGAAATTCGAGTGATTCTGTGAGGGATGCTCATAACACCCTTGCCCATTTTTCAGATTTCTATACCTTTTTTTTTTTTAGAAGTAAACCACTTTTACATGAAACAAAACAACCTAAAACTACTCGTGCTAAAACCTCATTGAACTGCGTTCATTCTTGTCACCTCAGTGTTAACATTTTTTCTCCCAAGATTTCTTTAGCCGTGATTCTCTTTACTGTCTACCATACAACTCTTACGATGTTAGTTCAGAGAATTTGGTGTTGGATCAGTTGATTAACTCCCAAATGATATTTTCCCTTTATTCTCATCACTCGTCTGCTTGATATCGTATTGATATTGTAAGGAGAAATTCTGTCTCGGTCACTCCATGGAGTTAGGGTATTGAATATTTCGATGAGGACAGTCAGATAACGTTTTCTGGAATCCTATTACACATTAAGGGAATGTATCCTCTGCAATACTCCAATCGTTGCGGTTTTTATCAGTACCGTTCCCCGTAATCTTCTGAGATAAAATAATATAAACTGTTCATATTCGCTTGTCTGAGCCTATTGTCACCTCTCTATTTTATTGGTTCCACGACGAAAATAGCCAGCCACATAAAACACGGCCCCATAGACTCGCTCCTTGGCGTTTTAAACCTGCCATCGTCGGTAATTAAAGGTTTTACAAACAAAAGTAATACTGAGTGTCCATGATATACCGAATATCGAAAAACTAACTATGTGACTTTTGTGAGCAGCTTCTTTGATGGCGAGAAAAGCCAGAATGAACTAACAGGCGCCTAGGTCAGCATTTGTATTTTGGCGATTGTGGTGGGAAATCGGCGATTAAAATTCACCTGGTTTATAGATAACTGATGACCCAACTGGTTCAAATGACGCAACTGGCCCAAGTGACCCAACTGGTCCAAGTGATCCAACTAGCCCAAGTGACCCAACTGACCCAAATGACCCAACTGGCCCGAATGACCCAACTGATTCAAAAGATCCAAACGGCTCAAATAACCTAAGTAACCCAACAATGAACCAATGCCGGCATTTTATTGCATTTTATTTTCAAAGCATTCATTACTTATCAAATTATCTAGCTGTCACGCTATCATTCGATTGACCGATGTCAAGTTTCGTTAACCGGCACACCAGGACATATTTTGGTTAACCGGTACACCAGGATATAGCTTAAAGTTAACTATTTTAATTTTAACTGTCATCTGAAATTTGACCTGTTTAAGTTGTTTCGATCTCCCTACCTTTATGAAATAATCAACTGCCCAATGATGTCGCGTTTTCCAACTTCCCGTCTACACGGCTTTTAAAAATATAATGAGCTGTTTGGACGTTTTAATGCCACATTAAAAAATAATCGCAAATAGAATACGTAAAATTATACGGATGTTTCCTGGATTTAGAGTTAATGGCAAAAATGACAGCAGGTGCTTTTAAAACATGGAAAACACGCAAACGAAAGGTACGCTCTCCCAAGTTGAAATAAGAAAATAATCCGCAAGTTTTTTTTTAATTTTTTCCAGATCGATATTCGAAAATGAAGACGTGAGATAACAAACACTTGTTTTTCGACCCGCATTTAAATAGTACTGTCACCTGATAGGTTAGAACTGTCACTTACGACATTTATTTTGTAAAAATTCACTATAAGTGCTCTAAGGAAATGACAGTCGCGGTGAAATACACGAATAACACACTTCAAAGAAATTTGCCACTATGTTTAATATAATCAAACTATCTGAGACAGCGTCACATAAAATCACGCAAGTCTTGCATAATTCATCACTAAAGTAGCCAATCCTTTTCCTTCAAAGTCGATGATAGGCTTTTGCTCCTGCTCTTTACTGAGTGTTTACTTCTTCAGTCCGACGAATATTTCTTAAAACGCAAACAGATGTGAAGGGGCTATCCTTTTATGTTTTGTGGCGCGGTTGTGGTACTGAATGTCAGTGCTGGGCCTTTATTTACCCTGTTGTGTTATGAAGCGCTCTTCGTCCTCTCCGCCTGAGTTAGCAGTTCAAAATTATTGCGTGACATGTAAGTTGACAAATATATGAATTAGTGGGGGAGGGGGGGGGGCCTGCAGCGACTGAGCGGGCGAGATTGTTTTTTTCTTCTCGAAAATACGTACTCAGTTTCGGTCCATTATCGAATGCGTGATCACATTACAGCCGAGAATGTGAGATTCGCTCGAGATTTTGAGACTGACCGAAGTAAAGAAGGGTAAGGTACAACTTAATTTTCGTTTTTCGATTAAAAGAACAAAATCCACGGGGATTTCATGTGATATCTGTGAACGCTTTCACATGAGAACCCCGTGAAAGGCGATTGCTTTTCAAAATATTTGACCGCCATGTTTAGCCTTTGTGCTTAAATGTGCGGCTTTGGCCGCCGTAATTACTCGCTATGCTTTCGCCCTCAAGTCTAACACAAATGGTGAGTAGCAGGGGTTTAAATATGCGTATTACAACTAGACTCATTTCTTTAGAATGGTGTTTAAGTGAGTTTACTCACTGAACTTAACGACCATTGTGTTGGGTTTGTAATGAAATATGCTCTTAAATGTACATACGAATGGTTGGCAGCTGCGTGTGAGCGCTCATAAATTTCGAACTTTCTCCATAATTCATAATTTGACTCTTGAAATTTCCTTTCTGTTCATTTGAAGGAATACTAAAGACCATTTGAAGTAAGTTTCACTACAATAGCACAGGACTTGCTTGCTGTGTACAAATCGCCTTTGTGTGGAAATTGACAGCAACAGGGTACAAGCTTGTTCACATTTTATGCTGACATCGGTAACAATGGATTCAAAGTCTGTAAGTTTGAAACGATTATTTTATCTAAGACGGCGGAAATGCCAGAGACGTTTGCCTGAGCACATCGCTAGAGATTCTTTCAAACCAGTGCGCTGCAATTTGCTGTTTCTCTTTTGTTTTATGCTTAATCATGCGAACACAATATATAGTCATGTTTATATTTCATGTCTCATTTATTTTGCTGTATTTATCATGCTCATAAGTTTCCAGTGCGCCTTCCTTATTCATTAAGATTTTAAGGAAATATTTTTGTGGTAAAGAATCTAGAAACTTTGACTCGCTTCATAATAATTAGTTTCGCTTCTTGTAAAGGGAAAAGTCCCTTGCTGAATCCAATCAGGTGTAGGGGATGTTTATCAAACTTCTGTTTTCGAATGAGGTCGGAATTAAATCGTTCAAGCATGGTGGGAAAAAAGGAACCATCTGAAATAATGTTTTGACAGTAAACTCAAAGTTGTCGAAAGCTGCAGACTTTTTCCTTTTAAGTCGGAACACCAAGCAGTTAAAATGGTAGGTGACGTTTATTTAAAAGGAGTGTCTCAAATGGCTATAGGGTCTAATCTGTGCATTTTTACCCACTTAAGTCACTTGAAATTTATTCATCTAGGGTACAAAACCATGCTTTTATTTGTGGAGAAACACAAAGGAAAATGTTAAATACACACATTGTGACTGTGACATAAATTTTCTTCTTGGTTCTAATTTCATTGATTTTAAACCACATTCAATTTGTATTTTTGGTATTCCTTTCGCTATGAATTTTATTTTAGTACAGATTATGTAGTTTCTACATTAAGATCATTATCGTTGACCTTTTGGAGGAAAATCTTTTGTTTTTGAGTTGCTTACTCTTGTGTAACCAAATTGAATTTGCAGATCACATTTCGAAAGTGAAAATAATAAAATTGGGTAAACTAATGTACTGCACTTTCATTCAGAGACCAGCAGGATATTGAAGAATTGCTTTGGGTCATTGATTTCCATCCAAATTGTCAATAAACACTTTTAGACAAAAATAACAATCATAGCCTGATTTAGACTCATCTCAGATGTCATATCAACAATATATCTCACATGATGCATATCTTATTCTAACTGTGTCATATCTAGCTCTTGATGACTGACCCCAAAGGAATCAGTGAATTTTGTTTCCTCCAGATCCTCAATTTTCCTCTAGGTTTGCCTTGGGGGACACTTAGTGTCTCAGGGAAACAAGAACTCACTGTTTCCCATAGACTCCTTCCTGAGGTGTGTTGATATCCCTCCCAACTAAAAAATGGCCGCTCCTTCTAAAATATTATTTCCTTAATGCCATTTAGCACACAATGCAATGTTGTTTTAGGTA